TATATATATAGGCAATTCAGATACATCCTCACCAGTAAAAAAAAACGCAAGTCATCGTCATCAGTTATTTCCATCACACAAACTTTGGTTTTAAATTAAAATGATACACGTGTCTAATTATAATATCAAACTGTAAGGGGTTAATGTTACTCAATCCATACACGTGACCTAGAAATTTTCTGTACGTGATTGTACTATCCACTGTCAATCCTCTCGTACGACCGCCGACATAATCTTTTTCACTATCATTCCATTCTCCACCGAATGTTATGAAAACATGAGGCATCCTGCAAATAGATAAAACTAAGGGAGATAGGAAAATCGATCATTCAAAAATAAAATATTAAAAATTAAGAAAATAAAAAAAATAATAAATGTCTCGGATGAATCTTGGACCAGTCTTGGTCCGAGACATGTCCCGGACAAATCTCGAAGCAAGACTGGTCCAAGACATGTCCTGAACTAAATATGCTTCGAGATTAGTCCAGGACATGTCTCGAACCAAGACAGGTCCGAGATATATCCGAGACAATCCCGATACGTGATGCACCGGGATTGTTTACATTCAATCCCGGACCAGGTATAGATCCGGGATTGAAGTAATTACAACAATCTGATTTTTTTTTCTTGTCAACAACCAAATCTAGTAGTTGAACCCATTAATGAGAAAATATTTCAATAAAGTTCAACAATTATAGAGTACAAAAGTTTGTGTAAAGGTAACATACCTCAAGTGAAATTGTGGGGACAATGATTTTGGATAATGTGGGGACAAAGAAAGATCAAACACGTTGATGCTTTGAGCAGATTTTAAAAACGTGATCTGAGAGTTATACATAATCTAAAATATTAACAAGTTTAAACATATGTAAAATATGGATTTACAGTTTGGTGAAATGGTTAGGTGGAAATCATAAATGCACATTTATTAACAATGAGGGTAAATTGGTCTTTTCCCATGAATAAAATATTTAAGGGATCATAAATAAGAGGTGGACGGGTTTTTTTGAAAATGGGGTCATTTATCCAGTTTCAATTATTGAAGGGGTCACAAATTCAAATTTCCCTCAAATCTTCATCATCACGTGTTATTTTAACTCAACCAAATTCTTTTTCTAAAATTATATAATGTATCAACCCAAACTCATCGTATTTTCAATTTTTCTTTGACAGGGAGGTCGAATAATGTCAAAGTCACTAAATGGACAAGTCACCCTATATTTAAAATGATCTATGTAATGTATTATTTTACTACTAGATTATAGATTGGTCATATTTTTACCTAGAGATTTTCTCTAGTATCAATCAATCATATGGTTCAATATCCAAGTATGAGGGGAAAAGAAACAAAAAATATAAGTGGTTAGCAATTCGATCGAATATATTATCGTCATATCGCAAAGGTTTCCGATCATATCAATCTATCTTTACTAAATACTAAAGTAGGAGGAAATGGAATAAAAACGAAAAGTAGTTCGCGATTCGATTGAATACATTATTGTTATGTTATTATAGTAGCTAGATCTATGAATCAATAGGAAATAAGACGTTAATTAACATAGGGATTCCTTTGAGTTCAATAAATACTAAATATATAATAGCATCAGAAATCCATATCCCCTTTTGCAAGTGGATGGCCACATTGAAACCTCATTTCCTTTTTCCTAATTTTATAAATGCAAAGCTTAAGATTCTCTAGAAAACAAACAATCAAACCAAACCACACTTTTCCTCAACATTWAAAAAAAAACAAAAAAAAAACACTGATTTCTTTGAGAAATTTGCAAAAATTGAAACCAAATGGATTTGACCAAAACTTCTCAATCTAGCTTTCATTCCTTCAAAAATTCTTGTGGAGTCCTTGAGAGGCAGCAGAAGAAGCACAGTCCATTGTCTGAAACCCTATTCTCTCCTTCTGCAAGTCATAAACAACCTCCATGTTTTGCTGTTGGAAGCTCCCAAAAATGCCTGCCGGCCCGTCGTCGTCCCCATTCCCGTCTCCGTCCCCGCCCCCGCCATCCATGCTTTGGAAAAGCAAGCATTTCACCACAGTGGAGTTGGTAGGAGCAGCCATGGCATAGAAATTGTTCCCTTGGGGCAGAACCACACTCACGTTGTTCAAAAAATGGAATGTTATAGAAGGCAGAAGATTGGAACAATAATCATCCATAGAAGAAGAAAAATTAGTGTTGTTTTTACAAGGGATTTTGTAACAAAGATCAAACCCAGTATTGATTTCTACTTGTTTAGCTCTAGGATACGTCACAACCGACTCGAGATTAGAGATAAGTTGTGAATACAATGGTTCTGGCAAGTGAGTATATGTTGTACCAGAATCAATCAACATTCCCCCATTCCCCTTTGTGTCAATTTCCCTCAACTTCAAAGAAACCCCAAATCTAGAATTATTATTGCCAATACCATCCCCAATGGTAACTGACTCAAGACCAATGTAGTAGTAGTTAGGGTAAAGAGGACTTTTCAACAAAGGGGTGAATTGCAAGCTATGATCTTTGGAAGAAATGGCAAGGCTCCCAAGGATCAAAGGGCTTGAGAAATTAGGGTTATTTGAGAACTTAAAGGGCAAGAAGCAATGGGAGAAACCCTTATGGGAAAACCCTAATTGTGAAGGGAGAGAGAGCAATCCTCTCCCAAAGCCAGCAATTCCAATTGGCTCTCTATAAGTTGCACCAACACAACCAAAGCAAAACCTAGGGATTTGGGTAGTGGAATTTGGGGACACTCCATGCATCAAAATGACATCTTTTGTTAGGGTTCCAGTTACAACCCCACTTGCCCCATAAGTGTAGGCAAATGAAGGGCATGGCCTAGGGCAAGTGCCCTTCACAAGGGTAGCAAGGGAACAGCCTGCAATTGTGCATGGGTCAAAAGGGTTATCAGAGCTGTGGATATCCATGCAAAAGGAGCTGCCACAAGTATCCCTAATGGAGGTTGAAGAATGGGTTGGGGAAAAAGGAGCCAACTTTGGGCCAGAGACATTGTTTTGATACTCCTCACAATCTTGGCAATCAAAAGAGAGGTTCCCACAAGGAACCCATGTGAGGTCACTTCCAGTGTCCATATACACTTGAATCACTTGTGGGGGTGTCCCTAATGTGAGAGAAATTAGGTACCCATCCCTAATTTCCCTCAATGGCTCTATCACATTATCACTGCCAATTTCCTCCATTGGCTTGTTGATTGATGATGATGATCCTTTCCTTGAAAAGTAGCCCCTTTTGGGAGTGAGGAGGGAAGTTCTTGAATGAACAAGGCCAAGAACTAAAGAATCTGTGTTGGGGAAATTGTTTCTGTGAGGCCTTGCAGCTGTTTCTGAGACACTCAAAAGTAGAATTAGAAGAAGGAAAAAGGTCAAAACTTTAGATGAAATAGTGGTGGCTGATGATTTTGTTGTAGGCATATTGTTGGAGCTGTTTTCTTTGGAATCAATCAGGAGATATAATTAGCATTTGGCACTATGCATATTTATAGAAGGGGAATAGGAAGCTATGGGCTTCTTTGTTAGGAAAAATTATTGAATGTGGTTGCAGATTTGGAATCTGTACATGCTCCCTAATAATCATTGGATATAAATTCGAAATACGATTGTAATTTCTTTCAGAAGAAAGACGGGAAAACGAGACTATATGTGTGTTTACCATTTATATATCATATATCACTCAAAAAGTGTAGAGGTTCTTGGCTGTTTTTGTTGGGATTTTACCCAACTGTCAGTTAACTGTGGATAAGTTTGTAGATTGTATGTATTTTCCTTTCTGAATTGAACCATGAGAGAGAGAATTCTTTAATAGTTTACATTTTGATATTAAAAAAAGAAGAATAAAGGATCAATGTTGTTCTTGTTAAATATTATTTACTTTCATGCAAGTGTATAGGGATATATATATATATATATATATTATAGTATTGTTTGAGTTTTTTCTTTTATAAAAAATAATTTATTCAAAACAAGAGGAACAAAATAGTCCAAGGACAAGGCACAAGACGTCCCCTCGCAAAAGAACACTAAAAGAGAAGAGCTCTTCAATCCGATAGGATTTGAGAGAGGCTGTAAATTGTATGGTTTGGGTTAAGGACGACCAAGAAGTTCGGGCTACATTTTTTTGATGTTGCGGAAAGTCTAATTTACAAAACTTTCCTTTTCTTTCTGTATTGTTTTTTTTTTAATCTCTTTGACGAATTTAGTTTTTGGATGCAAAGGCGACGGGGGTGGAAAAACATTGGTTCAAGTCGTCCACTTCAAGACAGTACTCAAATCATTATGCTTTTATTTTCCTCGCCCAGCTAAATTATGTAATGAATGACWGGCAACAACGCTTTATTGAGTGTCTCTAAACTTGAGGGTGACGTACTGTTCTTGTCCAGAAACTCGTTGATGTTATTTATTAAAATTGTATACAAATTGTAAAATACTCCCAACTTTTTGGTTGGAGATATATGCAACATGTGGGGTGGAAGTTCGAACTCATGATCTTTTAGTCGGATAAAAAAATAATTATTTTAAAGGTAGGAAATGAGAAGATGATTTCTAAGTTTGGAGTACGTCCCACCAACTGATTCACTCTATTTTAGTACACTATCAAAAGTAAGTAAAATAATTTTCATGATACTTTAAACTAATTAAACTTTATCAGTTGACTGTTACTAGCTATCAAACTACCCAACAAATTAAACCCTATAAAAAGTTACATTATATATATATATATATAAATAAATAAATAGAAGCATGCGCATGCTTTCACATTTGGCTTCCTTTGTATTTCATAAAGGGAATAATTAATTTACAAGAAATGACAAGAAGAAAAGACATAATTAGAGGTATAAAACCCAATAAGGAAAAGGAATATTATTATGTGTATATGCATTTAATTTCCAAATCTCTACAAAGTGTAGAAAATTATGGTTGATGTTGATATATTTGGAAACCATTTTAACCAATTTCTCCATTGGGATATTAATTATTCTTGGCCATGTATATCTTTAAGTTTCAAGATTCTTTTTCTTAAACATGTGTATTCTTTTCTTTCTTTTTATAATTTAATGTTAGAGATAATAATTTCTTAAAAGTTTCTTTATATATATAAAATGATCCAACATGAATTTAGTTCAGCGTAAATATCATTTACTCTTTTTCTTGAGGTCAGCAGACCTTCCATACTCCAAAAAAAATCACGATCCTAAAATGCATGGTTGATATCAAAAACTTAAAAAAAAAAAAAAACCCCTCAAAACTTCGAGAAAATAGAAAAGTGGGTAAACATTCAAACGAATTTCTATTATATAAACTCCCATCTCTCTCTAGAATCATAATATTGTGTGGAGAAGCACTACTACTTGTTGTAACATAATTTAATGCACATTACTAAGTTGATGATTTAAGGAAGATTCCCTTTGAGAAGCTATGATTAGTGAGAAAGTGACCCAAAAATAAATAAATAAATAAATAAATAAAATAAAAGAAAGTGAAGATGATCTCATGGCCACCCATTATTCTTTTATTACTACATTCTCATGAGAAAAGTTGCATAGAAAAATTTTCAATGTTTAATTCTTAATGTTGTACTTTAGTTTCATAATCATTTCAAACTCCATTATTAACTTCTTCATATTAATTTAAAATATTGTTTTTTTTTTTTTGCTTGTAATGGGATAAATATATTTGCACAAAGTACAATAATTTTGTGGGTACTTTCATCTAATAATAAAAAAAAAAAAGTTGACCACGGTGTATTTTCGACTTTGTTTCATTTTTAATTTTTAATTTTGAAGCATTTATTTTGGTCTGTACTTTTAAGAAGGGACCATTTTTGTTTCTCTAATCATAATTTTAAATTGGTTAAGTACAATGATTAAAATGGACGTTTTAGGAGTATAATAACACCGAGATGAGCCAAAATTAAAAATATAAGAACGAAAATAAATATTTTGATAATACAAGAACCAAAATAAGCTAAAATTACATTAGTACATCGACTAAAATAGAATTTAAATATGGAATTAAACACAAATAAATTTGGTTTGATTCTCACCATTCATCACAAATAAACTAACTAAATAATTTATTAGAATTTATATGATCAAATAATGATGAAATTACTTTTTACCAATGCATTTTCAAACATTACAAAAATTTCAGAACCTCTAAGTTACAATTTACAAAATTATTTGAATATTTTTTTTAAAATTATTTGAAAATTGAGTTCTCAATATCTAATCCTATATATATAAATAGTGCTGGTAGGAAGAGTCTTTGCAATCAAGTGAAAGATATTCTCTCTTTTGTCTTCACCTTTCTTTTTCTATACTATTTTAAAATGAATTCTTTTACCTCTATTTTATATTAAACTCTTTAATTCTTTCTTAATTATTAAAATTATTTTTTTAAGTGATTAATGTTGGATCTAATTTGGGCATGTTGTGTCATCTCCACGTAATTGAATATGCAATTCTGAGGTTTTCCAAATGGAAAACCACTAATCCCAATTAGTAATCTTAATTAATTTAATTAGTGCATTTCAAGAAGAGATATCAACAGAAGCTATAATGGGCCAAGAAAGAAACATGTACTTTCTATCCATTCTTTTATGACATAAGAAACCCTTTTAGTTTGCTTAATTAATATCATATTAGATTAAAAAAATGTTGTTTATGTACTTAACTTGAGTTGTTTTCTCTTTGGCTTAGTTAATTAAACGTTAAAATACTAGTTTGAATTTTGGTTCATTTTAGTCTTTGTATTTTCAAAATGTACATTTTGGTCCCTCTATTTTTAAAATGTGACCATTTTGGTCATTTAATTTTATTCTTAATCTCATTTTTTTATATCACAATTTCAACACGACACTAAAAATATATTTCTTCAAATGTAGACATTACTTTATACTAAAGAGTTTAAGAAATGTGTCAAAATTTTGCGAAGAGGGACTAAAATGGTCACTTTTAAAAAGTATAAGGACCAAAATGAACATTTTTCAAAGTACAGGGACTAAAATGAACAAAAGTTTCAAGTATAGGGACCAAAATAAATGTTTTCAAAGTACAATGACTAAAATAAACCGAGACTGAAATACAGATACAAAAATAGTATTTTAATGTGTGACTTGCCCCTTTTGATTATTTTAGTTAGTACTAAAAACATAGAATGTTTGGCACTTTCACGTAGATATATGATGTTATCTATGTTAAATTTTAATACAACAAATTAAAGGTATGAGGTTTGAATATACGACTTCAAGGGAAGGAGTTAGATACCAATTAATGTTAAGCTATGCTCATGTTAGCTTAAACTCACTGAATTTATTTCATTTTTATGCATCTATGATCCTTTCTCTTTCCAACTCCAATTGATGGAGTTGAGATCGAGTGGTAATTGACATATATCTCAAGACTTGAACACAAGATTTCATGGTAGGTGATGTCATAAAGTCTAAAAAGGTAACAAATAAAGTTGACACACATTTTCCCCGATTCCAATGGATCCAGTTCAAAGCTCCACCTATGATATGGGTGATATGCTTTGGTTATATTGAGCTTCATCTTATATAAATCCTTTTTGAATTACCTCTAGTTTATTTTATCAGGTGCCTAGCTACATTCAAAGTCCAAAAACATGAACATGTTATTGGAAAAATGCATTATTTGATTTGATGCAATAATCTCATTGATAATATATTTTATTTGCCTTACAAATAACCTTCACAATTATTTAGTAAATCACATTTTACACAAAAATTGGTCTATACTTCACTCTTGTTCTTTACTCGAAACTTTAGATTGAAATGAAAGTTGTTGTAACCTTATGAATTTTATCATGTCACAAAAGGAAACCAACTTTTAAAGCAATAGTTACTAACTCTCCCCAACTTTATCCCCCTTCTTTGGGCACAAAGATTATAGAAATCCACGTAATGGCATCGATTCCATATATATATATATATATGTATCACCTCATCTGTTTCTCATCTTTGCCAAAAGCCTTTATAGACATACCATGAATGAGAGAAGAGAGCAAGTTATGAGATGTCTAGTTACTACACAATGAGTTGCTTCCAAGTCAAAGATTAGATTAAATGGTTTTATGTCCAAGATAGAAGCTTTGTAAACAGAACCCATATGATTCTTCAAGAGAATTTCCTCTAGATTGAGTTGATTGGGTGTTAGCCCTTTGATTGTTATGAGAATCTTTCAAAGAAAAACAGAAAACATCTCAACGATGGGTATGATTTCTGAAGATTTGAAACATCTCCAACATGTTTTTCTAAGATGATGAAGGGATATGACAAAGACGAGATCCGAAATCGTAAATGTAACTGAATACAAAAGAATTTAAAAAAAAAAAAACAACTATACAGAAAAAATGAATTGGTACACAAATCTGACAAGAGGAAAAAGACACTAAATGTCAACAAGTTTTCAAGTTATTTTGAACCATTTACAACACACTACCACATACCATCAAATTCCTTAATATCCTCAACCCATTTGTAGATGCTAAGAAACGGACCAAGAGTGTAAAGATAAAGAAATATGAAACCGAGGAATATGTTTCTCATCGCTTCGTCGCTATCGTCTTCATCAATCCCTTAATGATCTTCCCGAACCACATCAAGTTCATCATGCCTAGCACCGTTGGCACTCCAAATACCAAAAGATAGCCAATTACATGCATCTGAATTACCTGGCAGAACAAGACTATTCAGTGAGATAGCATCACCTTATATCAACTCGAGCAATTCCCGAAAGTTGGCATGAGATGAATGCATATCGTGACGTGACAGAGTTGAATGGGAAAATAAGAAAACTTGCCAAGTTGAGAGGGCATTCAAGGATAATTTAGCACAAGGGATGAAAACAGACTTCATACAATATTTGCTGTATTCAGACTCGAAAACCAGTAAATAGCATGAAACGAAGCAAGATTAAGCATATTCAAGTGCCAACTTTCGCTAAAACATATTCTACTACTATAAAATTGTGTAAAGTACCAAATAAGAAAATTGAAAGAAAGTACTACCTTTATTTTATATTAAGAAAGTTTAGGCTTTAATAACCAATTTGTTTTTCGTTTTCTATTTTTAAAAATTTAGCTTATAAATACTACTTTCACCCATGTGTTTCTATGCTTTGTTATCTTTTATTAAGAAAGATTATCCAAATCTATGCCAAATTTCAAAATAAAAAAAAATGTAGTTTTTAAAGGCTTATTTTAGAATTCAAATGTGTTGAAGGATGAAATACATACAAAAAGAACTGGGAGGAGATAGGCAAGAGTTTTCTAAAACAGAAAACTAGTGTTATCAAACGGGGCGTTAACAACTTCTATGAACAAAGTAATAAGCACTGATAAATTCCAATAGACTAGTGTAAACTTGATGCAAATGCATAATTTGATCTTAAAATACCTGATCATAGTGCAGGAAAACATGAAAGAATGTGTAACCAAAGAGCAATATGCGAGCAACCTGTTCAAAACATCCATCAGCAAAATCAAATATAAGAAAATCCAATCATAATAGAAGACTTAAGATACAGTGTGGTAGTTCACGTGCAAATTGCTATGTTAAATCTAGGGGTGAACAAATAAATCCAAAAACCGTCGGTGTAGACCCACATTCGATCGGTGCCTCCTTTTTCTTTCTCCCACTTTCCTCTCTCTTTATCTTTGCCTTTCATCCCTCTCCATTTCTTTCGTTCTTTCTTTTTTATTTTTTATTTTTTTTTCTCCCTCCCTCATTTATTCTTCCATTTTTCTTTCTCCATTTTCCCTCTCTTCTCAATCTCTCTCATCTCAAGCTTTGTTGCGTGGCATCTCTTCCTCCAACGCTCACCACAAACCGACCACTGTCCGATAGACAGTTGGACGGTACAAAGCTTCAAATATTTAAGTTTCTGACCGACCAAAGTCAAATGTCAAAATTGACACCGACCAACCGATGTTCACCCCTAGTTAAATCCAATTTGTTAGGATCTTTTAACACGCATTTAAGCAATAGACGGTCGTGCTTGTACCATTTTTTAAGAAATATTTCCTCTCACTCTCTCTCTCTTTCTATTCTTGAATGGGGAACGGGATGGGCTTCAGACCATAACTCACCAGCCATGCAAAAAATATTACAATCCCATTAATCAGATATGCACAGGACTTCTTCATACCAGCTGTATCAAGATACCTTCACAAAATATGAAAGCATTAAGAGGCAGAACTTGTAATATCAAAAATCTAAACCATAAATGAAAGCAGCTTACCATCTCATATTAATCTCTGGAGTTGTAATCTCTGAAATGAGAACCATGTATGTATAGAGTTGCCCTTCTCCAGAAAAAACAGAATATGCTACTGCTAATCCAGAGAGAGAGTGGTGGACAACCTATTATCAAAGTTTCCAAATTACACACTACTCTAAAACAAGACAAACGACTTGAAGGTCTATAAACAGAGAAGGTACTTACATACTCCATCCCACCTAAAGAAGGATACAGCCAAATAATCAATCCAAGATCTGCCAAGAAGTATCCAACTGAGATCTGGAAAAGACTTGGACAAAGTAAATAATTAAAATTTTGGTTAAAATTTAAGAAAAATGCAAGACAAACAGAATAGAGGCTAAAATGCCTAAAAGGGTCTGCCGAGAAATCCCAGAGGGCTCAGAAGGTCTATCTTAAACATTATCCTCATACCAAAAACAGAAAACCAAAAATGGCTTTCCAGTTTGAAGTCAACTGATTCATGTTCACAAAAGGATATTCCTAGCAGGAGGACTTATAAAGAAGGCCAATCCACGCATGATAATCTTGGGTTAAAAAAATGAACGTGAATGTAAATAAGTGAGAGAACCTTGAAGGTCCATGGTTTTGAACTTTTGAGAAGATTAAATTAGGACATGTAGTTGAAGTCCGTGGTTGGACAAGGGGACAAAATTAGATTCTGGGAGGACACTTGGCTAGATGATACTCCTCCCAGAACAATAAAGATGAAGCTCCTCCCATTTTTCCCAAGACTTTAAGCTCCAGTGGTGACTGCATTCAAAATGGTAAAGTAATGCTCCATGAAGGCCTTAGCCCTGATTTAATAACCATTTCATTTTCTATTTTCTATTTTCTATTTTTAAAAATTAAGCTTAGAAACACTACTTATACCAATGTGTTTCTTTATTTTGTTATCACTTTTAAAAACGTTGTCAAAATCTAAGCCAAATTGTGAAAACTAAAAAAAAGTAATTTTTAAGAACTTGTTTTTGGTTTTGGATTTTGGCTAAAATTCAAATGTTTTATTTTCTACCTAATATTATTTTTTTTTAAAAGATACGCATTTCTCATTGATTAATAAAAAGGAACAAATTGTTCAAAGGATACAAACTCCTGAAGGAGCGAAGAAAGCTAAAAGATAAAAAGGACAAAAGCAAAAGCGAAACAATACAATCTAGCTTAAACAACTATAACAGAAAAATAAAAGCCTCCCAATTTGCATGCATCATAACAGAGTCATTTGAAAAAGGATTGGAAAGAGCATATCATAAGGAAATGGTGAGAAATCAAGCATAATTTGTAAAAATAAAAACAAAAAACGAAATGGTTATCAAATGGACATTAAAGGTAGGTTGTAGCGTTTTCCAAAGGAAATTTTATGATGACAATCTTGAGGAGTGGTTGAGGGGTTGGAGATCTCCTCAAAGATTCGTATGGTTTCCCTCGCATTGAAGACTCTAGGATGTGAAACACAGGTTCCCTCGTTCAACTAATTATAAAATGGATAAGGTAGTTTTTAGTCAATTACTGTAACAACTTTTTTTATTAAACTAACAGTGTTGATGCAAAGACATAATTACGTCCTCGTTCCCATGGCCAACTGGAAGTCATGAATCATTGTTTTGTGGCCTATTTGCATTGCCTTGCTAATGCTATATTGAATTGTATGGGTGAACTGAATAGCATGAGCTGACTTTCGGTAATAACACCTCATTTTCAGTCACCTGGAGAACTAACACAGGTCCAGATTGTGCATGATCTGCCTCCACCTTCTTTACACTATGGCAACCCACCCTGTTCCATCGGTTGATGAGTTCGAGGTTACAAAGGATGACATTTTGGAATTTGGATGACTTAATACATGCCTGAAGACAGCTGCTAATGGTAAACGTAGAAAGTTGAATTTCGGCTTTCAGTTTCTGGAACATATGGCCTTGCCATCAGTTTTCGAGGGGCAAGAGCAAATATTCAGCCGAATGCTTCAGCTTAACTAAGTTTAAAGCTTCTCAATGGATTTATTCGGATTTCTCCCCTAGTCTCATTTGTTCTAATTTCTAAACTGAAGTTCTAACTGGGACGCCTTTATTTTTCCTTTCTAATTTCCTTGTTATTACTTTTTGCTTTGGTTCATTTTTTTTTAACATTCTCTCAGAGTTTGTTTTTTCTTTTCCATTTATCAATAAAAAGTTGATTTCTTGTTAAAAAAACAAGAAGTTGGCCACACAACATTTTGCCACTTTTCCTTATTGTTCACCGTTAACATGTTGCTTATCAACTTTAATTACCTAAAACAATGTGGAAGTATTGGAGATAGTTATTGATAGGCATTCCAAACTACCTGTGTTGTTAGGCTAACAACTGCTGATAAATAATTATTTAGTTAGTTAGCTACACGGCTACACCATAAGTTATTAGTTCTGTTATGGGTGGTTAAAATGGTCGGGGCATAACTACTGGATATTAAGAGAAATAGAATAGGCAATAAGAAATTTCAAAAGGCATCTGGCAATTGGCATTCATATAACATTAGCTAAAAGAAAGCTTACCCCCAATATGAAAGTAGACAACGTTGAACTTTGAAAGGTAACAAGGCCAGCGTGACGCTGGTCAGAGAAGAGATCTGACCAGAAAACGAAGTACAATGACATAATTGAGATATAGATTGCATGAATAGTGGACATGCCGCTGTCAATTTTAGTTTGAATATCAGTAATGGTCAGTGGTCACAACAGTCCACTAAATAGATTATGGACACAATGGACAATGGAAGATGTGCTCACCGGTTATTCCACTCAACTCGTTGGATTTTTGTGAGACCCAAATAACTCTTGAAGTAAAAACTGCTAACTAATTGAGTAAGATCATAGACCTGCAGGAGGAAACATAAGAGATTGGAAAGAGCAAATGGTAATGGAAGAGAAGCATAAAATATGGGCGGCATTGTTTCCCTTCTATTATCCAGAATGAGGTGAAATATGCTACATACCAATTTACAAGCAAATATGCCTCCGAGGATAGAGGTGTATGGAATATATCGATCTGCTAACAAGTAATTCTTTATCAAAGCATCAGCTTGACTTTGGTAAGATTTAATAGCCATTACAGTCTTCAAAGACATTGTCATCGTTTGTTTGACTACATAACATTCAGCAGAACATTGCACCTTAGATTGAGTTAACTATTTGCTCCTTCGGTCCATTTTGTTTTCCCTTCTTGAACAAATACAAATAAGTTAGTAAGAAAGAAATATAAAGGATAGTGATAAAACATCTGTGCATCATTAGTGATCAGATCCCATAAGCAACAATTAATCTCACGAAAGAGTTTGGACTCAAGACACCAAGAAGAAGGCAATAACATAAAAACGTCCAAAATCTAGTCCATTCATCAGTCCTTACTCCATCTCAGAGCTCTTGAGGCATCTGTTCAGTGTTCACACAACTCTTTGTTTACGATGCAACCACCAGCCAGAAAGCATTTCAAGGAAACAGCTACTTGTATCTTTAAGCAAGCACCAAACGAAAATATAACTTGGTCTCTTCCCAAAAAATCAACAAAACATTTTAAAAAAAAAAAGCTTACTAATGACATTCAAGCAAGGAAGACTGCCTACAGTCTACATGATAAAAGACGAAAAGGTTTATAATAATTAGAAAATGAAAAACATTCGGCCATGGGGACAGACTAGCCATCTAAAAAGATCAATAAAAATGGGCTCAGTTCCAATCGTGACCAGATGGACAATTTTAAGAAACAGCGCATCCCCATTTCTTCTTTTCATACATTTTCTCCAAAGCAGTAACTGCCACTGTATTTCAAGTAATCAACTTTCATTATCATTCAATAGATCTACGCTAATTCCCTCAGAACACAACGAACAAAATCTCCGGGTTTAAACACATGCAAAGACTTAAACAGACATCAAACACACCCAAAAATCAATAACTGCAAAAAAGAAAAGAAATGCACAATCCAAAAACAAAAGAAGACTGTCCAAAGGAGAAATGACGCTCACTTATTGGATGAAAACAAACTACAAGAGGGTTCAAAAACGCTAGAATCAGGTTAGTTAAAAGATCGAGAGGTGGGACTTACAGCAAGCATACAAAAATTTCACAAGGACTCAGAAGGATCCCATCAAAATGAAGGATGAAAATGCAGATGGGTGACCCAGAAAAGGGGAAGAAAAGAGTCAAATCACCCCCAGAAAAGCGGGGAGGGGCGGAAATAAAAAGACAGAACAGAAGCCACGCAATACCTCATAAATGAAAACCCCAGATCAGGAGGCAGATGCAGAGAAGGGGTTTTCCAGGATTAAACAATGGGAAGAAAGAAAATATGATAATCTGGAAAGGAAATGTGCAACAACCGACCGGTACAAAAGAACCGTGAGGTTCAATCAATGTGAAGCGTTAGGAATCTCCAACCACAACAATCAATCTAAAAGAGGGAATCAGGAGAAGATGAAGAGAAAACAAGAAATTGGGGGCGTATGGGGAATTGGGTATTGCGTTAAACAAGTGGGTTTGCTGATGAGCAATGGATTTGAGTGTCCAGAGATGCGATCGTGGAACCCTTGTGGATTGAATTGCATTTTTATCCAACCCTTGCAGTTGGGAACCGTAGGAATATGATAATTTCGCGCCTTGGCCGATGATTTTTTAGCGCTCTTTCATTAATTACTTCGATTTGCTTTGTGAATTTATGTATAAAAATCGAGTCTTTTTAAGTATTAGTCGGTGGTAGGATTAACAAAATATTAAATCATACTATACTGCACTCTTAGTTGTGTTCCACCATACCAATGAAGGAATCTTTCATCATTTTTTTTCCCTTCTTTTATCTCTATAACGTGACTCTTGACATTTGGCTTTTATGTCTTTTCTACCGTTACCCCTATTTTATAAAATTAGTACTAAAAAAATAATTTTATTTTTGATATCTAAATATTTAAATAATTTTACTTTTTTTTTTATAAAACATGTTGGGACGAGGGTTTGAACTCATGATCAGTTGGTCAGAGATAAGTGTCTTAACCATTTAAGCTATGTTCGGTTTGACTTTAAATAATTTTATTTCATATAAAAAGTTATTTTAATTGTATTATTAAGATTTAAATAATCATCTGGTCTCTACTTTGATTTTAGGTTATTTTTGTCCATCTACCTTTAAAACAATTTTTATTTACGTATTCTCAATTTTTGTTCATTTTAGTTATATACTTTCAAAATATCAGTCTTAATCTACTTAAAATGACTATTTTAGTCTCTTCATATAATAGTTTTAGTATAACCTTTCACCCATTTAATTTCTTGAAAGTACTCATGAGTCTGTATTTAAGAATTTTTTTTTCTTCATATAAAAAATGTGTTAAAATTTTATAAAGAATGACTAAATTAATAGTATATAGATTAAAATGCTCTTCATATAATAGTTTTAGTATAACCTTTCACCCATTTAATTTCTTGAAAGTACTCATGAGTCTGTATTTAAGAATTTTTTTTTCTTCATATAAAAAATGTGTTAAAATTTTATAAAGAATGACTAAATTAATAGTATATAGATTAAAATGCTTTTAAATCAAGAAATAATCACGAGGTGACACATGAACCTCCTTTTTATTTTAAAAGAAAATACCTTTTTTATTAATTTATTTTCTATTTTTTTCGTTTGTCTTTTTGTATGATCATTGAGTAAAGGGTCATTCCATTGTTGCATGCTACAATAAAATAATCTAACATTTTCAACTCGTAATGATAAAAAAATTATTGAGTTATAATTCGAGTGTCCTTTTCACAAAGTTAGGCGGTGATTTTTTTAATAATTCATAAATTTTCCATAAATGTTCTTCAATACTTAGATAAAAAAAAACAAAAAATGTTCTTTTACAGTTGACTTTTGCAATTAAAGGCTTGAAAAAATACATTAAATAAACTTGCAAACTAACCGTTAGCAAGGATTCAAATCTTTCACTCCCATATATCCTTTTTTCAAAAAGAAAAGATATAATATTGATTTAGATTTTGGATAAAATATATATTATCTGTGTTTAATTTTATAGATCTAGATGACTGATCATGGTATAGTTTAAAAGTGATAGCTTTGAATAATAACTAATAAAGACTATCCACCTTAGTCGACAAAAATTTGAAGGTACAATAAACTCGTTGAAATATGACACCCCAAAGGGTTGGTATGTACAACCTCTATCCTATCTGAATATGAGTTTAGCCTTGCACTTGGGACTGTCGTCCATAGCACCATAGAGAGGACCTCCTTTAATTTATATGTACTTTCATTATATTTATTCTAGTGGTATTTTCAAATTTTGTTGTTTTAGTATTTGTCATATTCTCTTAACTTTATATGAAATTATATATATATATATATATATATATATATATATATACTATTTCAATCAATGATGTTAATTTTTCATTGTAGGGATGCACATTAGTTTAGAAGTGAAAAAATCAAAGTATATATAAGTGTGACAATATATCTTCGTGACATTTTTTTTTGGTAAAATCAAAAGTAAATTGATGGAAGTTAAACCTAAAGTAGATGATATCATATCATTGTAGAACTACAAAGAGAGATTTATTGTCATAACCATTTCAAAGACATTAGAAAGTTTATGAGTCGAAATAGAACAAACATAAAAGTTCGAGAAACTTGTTAGAACAATTTAAATTGCAATGATCAAATAGATACAGCTTTAAAAATTAGAGATGTTGGATATGAATTCTGGCTTGCCACGTGTCATGTTCGAAGAGGCGAGTTAAATCAACGAGCACGCAAAATATAAGGTTGACTCCAAAACACTCAGGTCGACAGTTAGAGTATGAGCTACGAGACCGACCCGACCAACGACAAAGTTCGTAACACGATCTCTTCTGAACCCGACAACACGCCGCGTTTTTAGGATGTGTCAGAGCTCTTGTCTAGCCCAGTTTCTATAAATAGAAACTCTTCCCTTAAATAGTATGCAATCCTAGATAAAATCCACGAGTTAGCTCGGATTAGAACTGACTTGCTCGTCGGAGTGTTAACTTTGTTTTGTAGTCTCAAGAGTGTTCTGGGGAGGTGTTGGATCGTTGGCCGTAGTTCGTCCCGTACCATCCGATCTACTATCCGCCCGAGATCAGCGATATCGAGCTCAAACAAGAGACTTATAAAAGTTTTTAAAAAGCACGTAATCTAAATAAATACAATTTTAAAAGTAAATACCAAACTTGTAATTTAACCAGAAAAAATAAAATAAAATAAAATAAATAAAAAGACACTTGCCACCACCTACTTCAAAATAATTACAAGAACCATCCTCTCATTCAAAACCATCTTCCAATCACAATCAAACCCACCCACTCAACCATAATGCTAAAGTTATTTTGGTTTACCTAAGTGCAATTTACACTTGATGTACATACATACATATTCATCTATCATAAATTCAAAGTTATTGATTTAATCTTGAGTTTGAGCATGTAAAAGGAAGAACTTTTCACTCTCAAAGAGATTTGATTTTAGTTCTCCACGAGTATGAATATGAATCATGTSATGCACATTCTTTTAATTTATATAGACGATAGTTGACTTTAATTTAATAAATATGTTATTAATATAGACATTTTTAAATAGAAAGTTAAAAACATAATTTCATAAAAAAAATTTACTCGTTTCATACATAAAAGTAAATAGGTGGTTCCTTAAATATTGATGGATCTCATTCATGATCGGATTATAAAGATTCTAACACCATATGTAATTTCAGAAGTAAGATATCGTACCTCTTTTGCTCAAATATCCGCCTCTATGTGATCGACAACCTAAAAAATGCAACTCAACCCATTTCAATCCAGGGTAATATGTAATCATATTTATTTTTTTTATAAATTTATTATTAATTTAAAATTTACTTACACTTCAAACTCATTTATATTTCTAACTAAAATTAATTTTAAATCTTAAGCAAAATTTGTATAGATGGGATTAGCTATTTAAAGTTTTTTTTCCCGTAAAGTCATATTTAAAAGATACATAAATCTATGTAATACTTGCCAACTTAGGTATGRTTCAATTGATTTATATATTTATCTAGGTCTCACTCCAACTAATGAGTTTTTTGATTGAAATTCGATAGAACTAAACCAAACTCAATCCAATTCTTGTGAATTGATTTATGTTGAATTTGTAATTTGACACTATTGTTTGGGTTTTAAAAATTCATAATTGGTCCAAAATATTACAAAATTTAATTCAATCCAACTATATTAGTGATATCTTAGCAATAATTGACCACTCCCACTCAGAGATTGTAAATTTGAAATACAAAAAAAAAAAACATGGATGAGTGCTCTGAAAATGTAGGTAAAAGAAAATGCTTTTTAGCCTCGAATATTGACTCTCCCTTAAACCCTCTTTGTTTAGGGTTTTATGGCGCATCGACGAAGAACTGAAATTACATGGAAAGGTTCTGTCGATCTTCATCTCGTCGGACCCTCGATCTTACTCTTTATCCGCGTTTGATTGAACACTGAAAGCCCCATAATCCTGAAAGTTGTCAAGGTACGCCAACGATTCTCTTCCGAAAAAATTTCAGAAATTTCTAGCTGTGCTTTAATGGGTTTGGTCCCGAAGCTCGAAATCGCGATTGACCCAGACAACTTGTTGAGATAGAAGTTGTGTTTACAGCTATTCTTTAACTTATTATATTGGTATTTGTTCGATTTTGGCGTTCGGTGTAATGTTCTGCGGTCTCTGTTCTTCCTCACCGTCTCGTTTCGGCCTCTTGCCATGCCAATTCTTCGATCGCACGAACGGGTATTGAAATTTTCTAAAATGATTGCGCAACTCAATCACTTGCTTCTCTTTGCGCCGGTTGTCTCTGAAAAAGTTGTTACTTATAACCCCTCTTTTGTTAGCTTCAAATCTCGATTCTTCTGCAATTGTGGGATTGATTTTCAACCCAAAGCGTCTCTCGTTGAATCAGTGCAATCACCCAATACAAGTGGCCGAGTGTCTCGGATTGCTAGGACAGAGGCTCAAGATGTGTTATTTGACTATCTGCATTGTACTAGGAGCCTCAGCTTTACCGATGCTGAACACATAAGCAAGAATTCGCCACATTTTCTTCAAAATTTGATCTTGAAACTTGATGGCGAAAAAGACGTAGCTCGGTCTCTCACCAAGTATCTTAGATACAACCCCATCAATGAATTTGAGCCATTCTTTGAAAGCTTGGGACTGCCCCCATCAGAGCTCCCCCTGTTCCTTCCAAGACACTTGATGTTTTTGAGTGATGACCATCTTATGCTTGAAAACTTTCATGTTTTATGCAATTACGGGATCCCGCGTAGCAAGATGGGTAAAATGTACAAGGAAGCAAAAGAGATATTTGATTATGATTATGGCCTTTTAGCCTCTAAACTTAGAGCTTATGAGAACTTAGGTCTTGGAAAGGGCACGGTTATTAAGCTTGTTAGTTGCTGCCCATCGCTTCTGAYCGGTCGTATCAGCATGGAGTTTTTCAAGGTTCTTGAGAAGCTAAGTAGATTAGGTATTGGAAAAGATTGGATTGGAGGATATATATCTTGTAGAAATACTTATAACTGGAATAGAATGCTTAACACAATGGATTTTCTAGCTAAAGTAGGTTATACCGAGATACAGATGCACAATTTGTTTGAATCAAATCCCTCATTGCTGCTTGAAGATTCTGGGAAGAAAGTGTACGTATTGTTTGGTCGTTTAGTCAAGTTGGGTCTTAAGATGGATGAAGCGTATTCGATGTTTATACAACATCCCGAAATTTTGTCAGGAAAGTTTGTTAAAAATATTCTTAGAGCAATAGATTTTCTCTTTGATGTTGGGTTGGGAACAGAGGATATTACAAGTATAGTATCTCACCACATTCTGCTACTGGGTTCGTGCACTCTGAAGGGTCCGAGAACCGTCTGTAAAGAACTAAAAGTCGGGAAAGAGAGTTTATGTYGGATCATAAGAGACGACCCGTCGAAGCTGTTCACATTGGCCTCCAAATCGAAGCTTAAAAGCAGCRAACAGGACTCTTGCCCAGATCCAACCAAACGCTTGGAGAAGACTACATTTCTGCTGAAGTTGGGGTACCTCGAGAACTCAGACGAGATGGCGAAAGCACTGAAACGGTTCCGGGGTCGTGGAGATCAACTACAGGAGAGATTCGATTGCCTGGTAAAAGCCGGGTTGGACTGTAATGTTGTGACAAACATAATCAGACAAGCTCCCATGGTTCTAAACCAGAGCAAAGATGTGATCCAAGAGAAGATTGATTGCTTAAGGAACTGTTTAGGGTACCCTTTGGATACAATAGTGGCATTCCCAGCTTATTTATGTTACAACATGGAGAGAATCAACACAAGATTCTCCATGTATAGGTGGTTGAGGGATAAGGGCTCTGCAAAGCCCAACTTATCATTGAGCAGTGTCTTAGTTTGTTCTGATGCAAGATTTGTTAAGTATTTTGTGGATGTTCATCCTGAAGGTCACACCATGTGGGAAATTTTTAAAAGACATCGTATCCATAATCATAATTGAGTCTTGCCATCTTAATTTTATTTTTCTATCTGTTTGACCACATAATTGCATTTTACTTTGGATTGTATTTCACTCCATGACATAAATTTAATGTAAAAACTTTTCATTTTTTCCAAATACAACATGAGTGGCATTTCTTATTTTGTTTTACATTACATTCAAGCTTGATTTGGATGATTTTTTTTTTTTGTAAAATTTTAAATCTTCTGCTATATTTAAAATCCAGGTTATTTTTATGCTTTTCGATTTATGTTTAACCTAAACATAGTTGAACGAGTAAGGCATGTATTGTAGACCAAATGGTGTGTATTCGAACCTTAACTCACACGTAATATTGTTGTATAAGAAACGTTTTTCTAAGAACTCTTATCTTTATTTGGCAATAAAATGTGGCTTACAGGCTAAATTAATAGATCAACTGTACGTTGAATGAATATATTGATCACTTTGTATAAAAAATTAATGCAATTTAACATATCAAATTAATATGAATCAACTTAGTTTAAACACTAGAGATATTAATTTTAAAATAAAATCACTAAAACGAAATTCTCTCTTATATCACAGCTTTATGTTCTCTAGAAATTAAAAAAAAAAAACAAAAAGAAAAAAAAAAGAATCATCTTAGATTCTTTGATAGAGAAACTAGCAACCCTCCTATGCATCTATCCATCGGATTCGTGTATTTTACGTCTTTGAAGTAAGAAGAGACATTGAATATGAGTTCTACAAAACATATATATATAGAGAATTTTTAAAATAAAAAATAAAAATTATCGAAAAAAGATTAACGATAGAATACCCTAAAAAAATTCTAAAATACCGTTTAAGAAAATTTAAAAATCAACAAAGAAAAAATCATCCAACAAAATTACAAAGCAATTTGATGCAAATTTAGTGGATAAAACATCTATTACTCTTACTATTTTACTATTTTAAATGTCAATGGTTCGATCTACCAAGCCTCTCCCATTTTCAGGTTAAAACACATCAGTTTCCACAACATTACAAACTGAAAGCATTTGCTAGCTCCAAAGAAAAAATGGAGACATATTTTTGCCTTCCTAGTTAACTCATTATACAAAGAGCAAACCTTCCAATGCCCTTAAGAACAGAACAAGATTCCATTTCATTTCTCAAACAACAAGGCTTGAAACTTTCAGCTTATTGTATGTAAAATACATGATATGCTTTTACTATTTCCTTACCTTGTTGGGGTTSGCAGCATCCTTCAATGTCGTTGATGACGATGATGGAGACAACCCAGATTGGTTGAGCTTGGCTGCCTTGTCTTTATCAAATGCCTTTTGAACATCCATTTTGAGCTCCTTGAAACGCTTCCGCTTAATCCGCTGCTCCTCGGACGTGCCCTTCTCGAGGTAAAATAGATCAGGAAGGTCATCCTCCATGAACTTATCCAGTGCTTCTGAGCAGTTTGGAAAGTAGCGTCTACCCATTTCCACTGCAACCAAGAAAGTTACTTCACATGAGACTCGCAGCTACAACTTTTAATCAGATCAGATTTAGTACAGCAACAGTTCACATTTTTCAGATAACTATAAAAATCCATCAATGAAACTCTGTACAAAGAAGGAAAGACTTTTGTAATAACTAGCAATGATGATATCTTTAGCGTCCTAGTTATCAGGTTGCCTTAAATGTGGCCTCTTGCAAAGTTTAACTTCTTGATTTGGGCGTCTATTTGTAAGGACTTTTTGTAATAATCCTCTTAGCCTTATTCTTTTGGGTCGTAGCCGTTTCTCATGACCTCGTCTCGTTAAATCTTTAGTTATTGTTCTAGCTCCCTTCTCTGGCTGTGGTTTTTTAAGTCCTTTTTGTATTCTCAAAAGAAAAAGTTCACAAAAAGGGTGAGTAGCTATAACCTGTTTTCATAAGGGCCCTCATTCTGGAAAGAAATCTTTTGTTCTGCATAATTGGTGTTTCATTTAAATCAACCTCCCTCAGATTCTTATTTGAACCTTTGGGAATAGAAATACCAGGGAACTCAGAAGTTGTGTCGGCATTTGCGATGTCCATGGCGAGCCTGGCCTCCGATGGGAAGAGTAATCGTGCAAACGCTACTGCATTAGTACATAACAAATGATTCCAAATGAGTACATGATATCACTTTGGAGGTCCATCACAATTCGTCAAAATAATATGCAATRCTTCAAGGGGAAAAAATATATGCTATGTAGAAAATTACCTCTGTTTTCGAGGTAAAGCAACTTCATGTGCAGATCATCAGCCATAGTAAGAGAAAGAATGGATGAATCTGAAGTTGGTGGATTTCTCCACATTTCTCTCTCTAACATGTCGATGCACAAGCGGTCTCTGTTTGCTTCCTGCCCCTTTTCGGTTACAGCATGATAATCCTTTGGCCTTGTTAACCTCCTACAGATATTTGCAGCAGTCCGACCATCCAAGGTCAAATCAAATGCCGAAGCTCCCTTGTCAAGAAGGGATATTATCACCAACGGATCCTTACGCATTGCAGCAACATGAAGGACGGTGTAACCACGAGAATTTCGGAGGTTAACATCAACCATACTCAGATTAAGAACCTCGGTCACAGTCTTAGGATCACAATACGCTGCAGCATAATGCAGGGCATTGGCCTCATCTAGTGTTACATCTGATTCAGATAGAAGAAGTTTCATGAGTTCAACATCATCCGAGTCTAATGCCAGGCATATTCTTTTGATTCTCTTTTCACGAGGACTGTCGGGTACAAGGTTATGCTCATCATCGCCCTGAGACTTGAGCCGAACCAATTTAATTCTTTCAGCAACCTCATAGGGAAGTCCTTTCTCGAGAGAAACACAATTGAGATCAGAACGAGCTATTCTTTTAATGCATTCAGTGACAAGAAGATTCAATTGGCAGTGGAAAGCTCCCACTAGGATTTGGATGACATTTTCCACTAAAGCCTTCGCAACATAGTTAAGCAGATGTCGCTGCACGYGTGTAGAGTATTAGATAACAGTATTTTTCCTTTTACGACATTAATATAAACGGAATGGAGTTTGATAACACTGGAAAAAAAGTCAAATGAATTTTCAGCTGATATGGTGAAAAAAAATGCAGGACTGAAACCAGTAGCCAATAGACCAAGTAAAATCTGAATGCATAAAAATGAAATTAGGTTTGAAAGCACCACCAATTTGAGAACAGAAAGATGTTATCAAATCCTGCTCCCATCCAGTCCATCCAATTCTTAAAGTAAAACAATTTATCTAGTGATGCATTAACTAAACCAATGTTAATAACATTCACAATATTAGATGGTTCATATATAATTTATACTCCAGCAGTCGAATAGAAATGGCAGTAGTTTAAGCCTGAAGCCCCAGGCCAAAAGAGATTACATAAATACCATCCAATTCGTCAAAAGCATACCTAAACTATAGTTGTTGAAAGTAGGGAAGAGAGATAAGTCGACAATAAGAGAAAATCTATGAAACCATTGTACAACTCTCCTCGTCATTGAAGATTTTATTGTTCCTTTTAAGCCACAAGACCAAGTTAGAGCTACAAAATAAAGAGAAATAAGAAACTATCATGGAACTTCTCCTTTTTGTTGAAGATTTAATTGTTCCTTTCAAGCCACTAGCTCCAGAAGAAAGTTCTAGTGAATTGAAGCTACAGGATTTTCTTTCCTCTTTTAGCTTTAAAACCTTATGATCATGAGGAGCAATACTCACAGTCACATAATCAATGCAAGTTGAAATAATATACTAAGGCATCAGTTTATAAATCCATCCAACCAACAACAGTTAAGTACTAAATGTAGCATTGCATCCACATAAATTTGAATACCAATTCACCCGAATATCAATATGAAGAACTATCAGCTGAAACAGAGTACACTTTACTAAGAGTAGTAAAACGCTATATCAGCATCTATTGATTACTGACCTGAAACAAAGAAACAAGCTCGGGTATTTGAAATATGGAAGATGCATAAGTCAATTGCACTGCAAAATCAATGGCAGGTCCACAAGCATCATGGGCACATGAACTGTCAACACAAGTTGACACATCTGCAGGAGATGGCTTCAGCTTTCCAGTATACAAGTAACTCAACAATATTAAGAAGGCTTCATATCCAATCTTGCCGTGAGGGATCAACTCATCCATATTATACTTCGGTTTACCATCTTTTATAGACGACGAATTTTCATCTTTTCGAAAAAGGTCGTGGAAAAACCTACTCCTAGCAGCCAAAATACATCGGTGAATACCAACTGAGACACCCTCAACTACAATATCAGCATCAGTATAATCAGCACCATCATCAACCAAAAGCCGAGCCAAATTAGAGCTAAGCTTGTTTAAGCTGATCACTTCAAGACTAGGCACTGGTTCAGAGGAGGCAGGAGAGGTGGACACGTTACAACTCTGAGACCCATTTGTATGTGAAGATGAAGTGAAGCTCAAAGATGATGATGGTTCATACGAATCAGCCATCAAACCAGATGGGAAAAATAGAACACCTGAGCTCTAAGCCTCCAACAAGTCAATTCTCATTGACTCCGAATTCTGAGACAATTTCAGGAAAGGAGAAAAAACCTAAAAGGAGTTTCTAATTCTAGAAAGAGATAGAACGAGATCATGCTAAATCGAACTGATTTGACAAGACTTAATTTGAGAAACAAACGAACCAGGATGCTAACAGCAACATGATGTGTAGTATATAACTTCAAAACAGGTCAACCACGAACTGATCATAAAAGTATTCATTCAAACTACATGAACAGAGAATTCCTCTCTACAAAGTTTCTCATTCAAGTAATTCAGATTTTTAAAAAATCTCTTAACTGGGTGCAGACAAAATTCCAAATTACAATGAATTCAGCATCGAACTGAGCTTAAAATTTCCAATTCCAAAGAAATGCGTCAAAGAGGAAATAAAGCAGGTCCATGGAATCTTTAGGCACACAACAAATTCCCACTTCCAAAAAGGAATAAAAAAACACAGCAAGCAAGACCCAGAAACCACAAAATATACAGAGAAGAGAATTTGCCGAAATGAACTCAAATTGTCCCCAAGAGAGCAAAATTCGGGAGACCCAAATCGGGAATCAGAAACAGAAATCCAACGGAAACCCAGAAGTGGCGGTAAGCAAAACTTTGATCGTCGCTTTCAGAAACCAAATAAAGCTAAAAGCAGAGACACCCTTCCCCTATAGAGCAGTAATGGGATTTGATTTGAAGAGAGGGAGAAAGGGAAAAGACGATGGAGAGAGAAAAGGGAGGGTAGTGCGAACTGCGAATCGAATTGGGAAAATCAAAAGCAAATSGAACGGAGGAAGAGAAACGTGTTTACTATTTGGGGTTAGCAGGTGAAGTCGTTCCAATGACGGAAGGGATGGCGTCAATCCTCCAAGCTGTGCTGCACTTGCGTCTTCAATGGCGTCACTCCATTACTCAACAAACCAAATCTTCTCTCTCTCTCTCTAAATAATACGACTTTCATGAGACTGGACGAAGATCATGACAAAGTCAAACTAGGAACGCTCCTTTCATTTTTATATCCACGAAAATATTTGAAATGGTTTCTAATCTTTATATAACTTTTAGCTTTGTTTTATAATTAATCATTTAAAATTTTTGTCCAAACGAGCCTGACTTCATATATATTTTCAATAAAAAAATTTGTGAGTTCCAACCACCATTTTTATCTGAGATACTTGACTTTAAACTATACTAAAAAAAACATTGATATATCTGAATACTGAAGATTTATTTTCAARATGAAAATATGAATTAAATTATAAGTTTAACCGACAGAAATTATACAATGTAGATGAGTGCATGCAGGAAAATTGGACAAATTGGATTTGAAGGAGGTTATATAATATAAAAAGATGACTTTGAAGATGATTCCCAACAAGTTGGTTGAGACTGTGGTTGCGAATGAAAATTTTGTCAGTGGTATTGACAGCGTACAAATGGTAAAAACATTAAAATGGATRTAGTTTCTACTTCTTAGATTGGTCTTCCTCGTCATACTCTCTAACCTAGTCTAAATATRACTTATTCTAAGGTTATCGTGCTAATCGTATTAGTGTTGCATCTAATTGTTTTTACATATTTAACATTTTTTAAAACTCACARACCTARCTACTATGAATTTACTAATTTTATGTGTAATAGATTTACTAATTTTTTTAAAACGACAAATAAGMCAGAGATCTATTAAAAACAAAATTATAGTTACAAATTTGAAACAGTTCCAATAATTGGAGCAAAATATTAATATAGTCAATTTATATGGACTAAAAATCTATTTTTTGGGGTAYCAATTGAATTCTAAAATTTAGACGAAGACGCTTCAAAGATATCTATTACCATCTAAAAGTTGAGTGTCGGATCTCAACCCGAAACTAAAAACAAGGGCTAGATGCTTATGTTGACTGTCGAAACTGAAAACAAGAGCTAGATGCTTATGTTGACTGTAATTCACACCAAAATGTGGAGGCAACATATTTTCTTCAGCGGTGGAAAAAGAAGAAAAGTAAAAGAAAAAGAACATAAAAAGTGGAGGAAACTTCGTGGAGGTGGGGAATGTACAGTACAGTTACTTCAGTCTTCTTCCCCACAATATTGGCATCTTCTGCAGTACTTTACTACTCTAGCAACCTTAATAAAGTTTTGAAAATAGTTTTTCCTTTTTCTTTTTCGGGTCGTGGTCGTGGTCGGGATCGAGATCGAAGTCGGGGTTGGGACCGAACTTTGAAAAGTTAGGAAAGTAATGAGAGAAAATCAATTTTTACTTTTGAATGTGAGAGTCGTTTGTAATGTTGTTGCGGTTTTTTATCTTTAACTTGAATTAGTGTGGTACTAACTTTTACCGAAGGCTTTTGTTTGAATGATGGTTAAAGAAAACAATATTTTTCGTGTGGATTTAGTGAAGTGTAAGGATACAAGTCTAGTATATGAAAGGTTATTTACATTCGAAAGGTGAAATTTATTGTTGTAAATATCGGTTAACTACATGATCAATCATGTTTCACATCGATGACGGAACCAACAACGAAACTTTTACGATAACTTTTTTTGTACACGGTTCGTTTTGTCAATGTGTATACATGTAATTAGGAAACCAAATTCCGAAGAGAGATGGTGTCTTTCTTTTATGGCTTAAATTCCTATTTTCTTTTATGGCCTTAAAATCAAAATCATTATTGAGAAAGTTTAGTTAATCAGAATTTTTTAATAATATTATAACAAATGAAGGATGAAGATTCAAATTTATTGTCCGGTAAGAATTAAATGTTCTTATATGTGTTWTAGGTCAATTTTTTCCTTTGGTACACAACAAATATAAGAGTAAATTTACAATCTCAAAAAAAAAAAAAAACCTTTATAACTAAACTATACTCATATTGACTTGTTCAGATTTGTAGATTTAAGAAAAATCAGGTCATATTTTTAATAATTTCTTACTCCGATTTTTGTAGTAAGGGCTAAACTTAGAACTTACAAAAATTCGAGGCACTATAATACAACATTTTTTTAAACTAAGGAATAAATTTTAGGACCAAAATTATTTGTTTTACTTTATTTTTATTTTCTTACCAAATATAGAAGAGGGCATGAATTTTATTCCATAAAGGGTCCTTTCTTTTTGAACACACAAGATGCTCTTTGTCTTTGACTTCAAAATATTCCTTCAACTTTATTGTATACTCAATTTTGCATTTGGTGATGATATAATTATATGACATCTTTGGTTCAAGAAATAATGACATCTTTTTAGATTAAACTTTGTTTAGGGAAACAAGATTTTTCTTTTCAATGGATAAGAAGGGATATATTTTTTTCTCCTTTATTATATTGCAAAGGAAGATATCTTTCTCCAACTTTTTAAATTAGATTAGTTGAACTTACTTTGATGGGTTGGACCAATCATTAAAAAACTATATTTTTGTAAAAAATAATATCTATATATAAAATGTATGTATAGGTAATCATTATGAATAGAATATCATTTCTCCTGCCTCTATTTTTAATACATTAAAATATGAATAAATATTCTTGGGCCAACAAAACAAAAATACAATTTAAATAATGGAACTTTGTCTCGCTATTTATAAATCGAAGATTCAAATCTCCATGAGTGACGTAATATTTAAAAAAAAAACATATTATAGATAATATTATAAGTTGTACTGTAATGATTTTGTAATCTCAGGGTTATTTGTTCAGAATGGAATGAAAGTTCAAAAGTAATGATCGAATATAGTGGTAGAAATTTTTATTGAAATGGGTAAAGATTTATCGTCTAACTTTTTATATATAATTTTTTAACTTTAAAAACTCGTAAAATCCGAAGAAAAACATTACAAACTTAATTTTTTATATAATTATCTTAATAAAAATAATTAAGATGGAAAATAATCCTTACTTCTTTGCTTTACCCTAGGTAACCTACAATTGGTAGCAGCTTTTATAGTTCATGGATGTTTGATCTTTTACCGTATATCCTCGGTAATATATTATGTTGATATAGGATTGGAATCCAGGTTTCGGTATCAACACTTGCACACCAGTATGATACTTAACCCAACGTACACTGATATCTAAGTCAGACAACGGATTCAGTGAGTATAGCAAATAGTAGGATTTTGAAAACATACCTCGTGCCTAGAGAGCCTCTCTTCCTATTTGAACGGACCAAAGTGATTTACTACCTAAGCTCACATGTATCAACTCGATCGAATGTAATTAGAGCCTACTCATTTAAGTGGGGTCTAATTTGGTCGGCTTGACTCGCATCGCTTCTTTGACTTCATTCCGAATCAATCGAGTACAATAATGTTACCTCTAACATATTCCAAGATGGCTGTTGGGGAAGACTTTGAATCTAATTTTCAAAAAWCTACTAGGCTCTTCTTTTAATAATTGACTTCTTGGATCTTTCCTTTTTTTTTCTTTTTAGAAATTGATATTTCCTCATATTGGTCTATTATTTGCCTGCATTTCATCACATGATTAAAAAAAAATAATAATTTGGTTCTTAATTTAATTAAAGTATCAAAATTTTACAATTAAATTTCCACTCAATAACGTTTTAAAATAATTGAAACAAGTGAATGGCCATGTGGTATTTAAAATATATTTTTTTAATTAGTTGATATCGGTAGAATAATAGCATATTCAAAAGGRAAATCCGAATTAAAAATTGAACATAATTCATCACTAAATACCAATAATATTTTTTTTTGGTTGGTCTTGATGGCCTGTGGGCATTTGCTTCATTTTTCACAAGAGCTTAGGCCTAGATTCAATTGGGCCTGGTTAATAAATATCACGGCCCAAATGTACTCTTTACTTTTTTTATTTTTATTTTTTAATATAAGAGAACTCTTGCTACTTTTTTCATAAAGTTAACTGATACTTCTAATTTAAAAGTTTTAATTTAATGGTTTCATTGATTTTTCTAATTATTATTACTACATCACCACTAAAAATTTTATAGTTACTTACTTTTTTAAAATAGAAAAATATATCTTTTTCTATATTACTCTCTCCTACCTGTTAAAAATCTAACGCTGATTAACAAGAAATTGGTGTTGGTCGATAAGTAATTAAGTGTAAACAGTTTTTTATTTAGAGATACTTTAGAGATGAGAGTTTGACGCATTAAAAAAATGTCAAACTATTAACATCTCCTATCTAATATTGAAAAATGATGTTTTTGGAGATTTAATCGAATTATAGAGGTAAAAGTTGAGATTTAAAAACACTGAGCAACTAAGTTGAGATTTAAAAACACTGAGCAACTAAGTTAGAAACCATAAATATCTTAATTTTAAGCACAAAATATATAGACTAAAATGACAATTTAACCACTTTATAATTATCTTTATATTCTCGACTATTTTTTAATTAAAAATGTGAACATGAACTTAATTTAATGGTAAATGACACATGTTTCTAGTTAAGATGTCATGAGTTCGATTCTCTCCACCTCACTTGTCGTATTGAAARAAACAACATACAAATTTTCTTTACGTACGRTTCCTATACTTTTCACAGTCATGCCTATTTAGTTCATATATTTTTAAAGTTATTTTTCTTTTTATTTTATTCTTCATACTTAAAAGTTAAAACAATTTCAAATAAATTAMTCAACTTTCAATTTTGTGCCTTACTCCTATKGTTAATTAGCTCATTTATACCAACACTTAGGCAATATATTGATTACATTATATATTTGAAAATAGCATGGTGCATGTATTCAAGTTAATTTCAGGCAAGTTCAAATGTTTGGTGACCGAAATATAAACAAACAAAGTTAACGACAAAAATTGAAAAGTTAAAAAACCTATAGTAATATTTTTAAAGTATAAAGACTAAATAGATATAATCATACAAAATTTTAAAACCAAATACAACCCTAAAAATTTTAATAGCGAGACTAAACTTGTAATTCACCTTTTACTTTTTTATCTCTTAATTCATTTACCTYGCAAAACAATATGTTAACTAATATCTTATATTTCAAAATCGAAACACGCATACACATGCCCATACACGTATATGAAGTGCTACCTACAAAAATATGCACACAYGCGCATACACGCACAACATCTCGTTCATTGTGGTTCCTCGATCCTGCTAGCCATTTACTTGCTCGAACTGTACACATTCAAAGAGGGTACACGCTAAACAAGCAAGCCATCCAAGTTCATAAAGTCGGAATATAGATTAAATCAAATTAAATCAAACCGACCCAAAAGAAATAAGAAAGAACCGAAGAAGACGACAAAGGAGAAAGAGGGAAGAGACAATATATGAAAGAAAAAACATATCTAACAAAACATCGAAAAAACAGACCATGAAATTCATTTCTGTGTCTCTCTCCTCCATTAATTTTTTTTATTTTCTTTTTCTTTTTCTTGCTTATTTGTTCTTTTCTGTCTCTTCCAAGATTCCATTTTCCAAAGTGGGCATGCAAAGTTGCCAACTTGAGAGGCAAGCCCCCCCCAAGTTATCAGGTGTGGCCACTTCTACCATTCATCATTTTGTATCTTTAGATCATGGAGATCATATTTGCTCACCTTTATGCTTATTTGAGTTTTTTCTGTATTTTTTCTCTTTTTTTTTCAAAATTTTAACATTCAATTTTACGGTGGAAGGTAGGTATCTTAACCAATTAAACTATGTTTAAATTAACTTTATTTCAACGATGCATGGTATGCGTAAATTGTAGCTAGAATGTAGGTCAAAAGCTATGATGGATAGGATCATATGAGTCGTTGTGCTTATTTGAGATTGTAAGTCTATGGACCATCTCTTCCTATAACCTAATGTTTGGACAAATTTATGGATGTACTTCTAAAACATATATTCCTATGTAATAAATAAGTTTTGTTATAATTTTTACGCTTCATATCTGAGCAAATAAGATTTTTTTCAATATCGTAGAAATGTTGATGGTTTGATTTTTTTGTTTTGAAATTGTTGAACTAAAAGAAAATTTGTTAAAATCTAGGTCCAGTGTGGGGAAAAAAAACTCAAGTGATTAGACATTAGTATTCATGTATAGAATTGTAGCTTCGAATCTCTAACTTCTTAGTAATATTTTTTTTATTTAAAACTTTAAAGGGTATGTTTGACTCGTACGATCGATACATTTCGATTTTGCAGTCCAAAATTGGAACTAATTGGAGGGATGATTCGAAAATATATATCATACTTAATTGGTTGAACTATGCTCAAATTGACAATTTTAAATAAACAAAGTTACCTATTGAAATGAGGCACTTTACTTCGCCATCCTAAATCATTATTCAAAACTCCCGTTTATAATAGAAAGACAGTGAATATATAAATTTGTCCCTCGTTTTTCAATATTGTCTCTAATTTTTTTTTTAATTTTAACTCCATTATTTAAAAAAAAAGTTTATCTATCCTGTTAGAAAACCTTAAATAATTCATCCATAAGATTGATGATATTTCAGAAAGAAGAGAAAAAAATTCATTGAATTCATACATTTATCATTCTTGTAATATTTTAGTAACATGTCCAATAGGGAAAAGACGAAAATAAAGACTTATAAAATATGACACATTAAATATTAAAATATGTATATAAAATATATGTAGAAATAAGACAAATATTCTATAACTTGAACTTGTGATTTGTGACAACTCAATCATGAGAAGTATTGTCGTGCCACGTGGCCACGAGTTCACGTGATCCCAAACGCCCACTTATTAGAAATCATCCTCCACGCTCGTGCCCTCCATTTTTCCCTCTCAAAAATGATAATAATAATAAAATAATAAATAAATAAATAATTATTTTAAGTATTTGGAAAAAAGTCAAATTGAACCTAACTCAGCGATAATTGACATATATCTCCAACCAATAAGTTGTGACTTCGAATCTCATCTCCACATGTACTAAAAAAACATCTTTGGAAAAAAAAATGATTGTTAAAAATTTTGTTTAATTTAGTTAGGTAAAAAGAAGAATGGTGTTGAATATATATAAAATAGATAAGGGGTGATATTCAAGGTATATGTAGTGGGAAAAAAATGTGGAAAGAGAGATATTTGTTCTATTTTTTTTTTTAGAAAATAAAAAAGTTTTCAAATTTTTAGTGTTGGTTAATAAGATAGATGTGGTTAATTAATTAGGGAAACTTCATTAAATGAAAAAGAAATTCATTATTTACTATCGAATTTTTTTTTTTTAATATTACAACTTGAATGTGTTTATTTTTTAGTACACCTGACATTTGTATTAAGATTTGAACCTCCAATATTAATCTTAAGAGGAAAAGAATAAAATGTTCTCATAGTAGACTAAGATCGACATTAATACATATCTCGTATTCAATTCAGCTCACAAATTTAGTATTTAGATCGTGACTATAATTTGTAATCGTAGGTATGAGATGATATTTCAAATTTCAATAACTATCACCTATAAATGTTTTCTATTTTCAAGTTGAATATATGGTTGTTGTTCAAAATTAATAGGTAACTAAAATTTGTTTGCTCCATTGTATCATTTAAAAATTAAAATAAATGATAAATGGTTAGGATTCTTCTTTATTTTTTTTAGATTCAATAACACGTGGGAGTATGGATTGATAAATATTCAATCTTTGATCGATCTGTCTTAATCAATTGAATTATGCCACGTTGATAAACTGACCATCTATTATAGTTTCATATTAAATTATATATTTTTAGTACAACATGTGGGGTGGGGGGATCGAACACAACTCACAACCTCTTGGTTAGAGATATATGCTAATTACCGTTGAACTATACTCGCCTTGGCTCATATTAAATWACATTGATGAGGATTGGATTAGCTAATTTAATAATTTTGATTGGAACTATATATATCAAAAGTACGAGAAAGAGAGGTTCAATTATTAATAAGAAAGAAGTAGGAACTTCCTAGTTTTAGAGGTAGACAATTCTATATTGTCTTTAAATCTGTCTCATTACCATTTCCAACCCTTATTTTTATCAGCTGGTCTATGTGACCAAGCAATCCCACATGCTTCACAATTTGAATTATGCCTTTTTTTACTTGTTTTGTAACATGTATTTAGGAGGAGAGATTCATATTTTTGGATTTATTTATAAACAACTAAATGAACATATATTCTTTTCCCAAAAAAAAAAAGATAAAATATGACATCAAATGGTTGGAAGTAATATATATATATATATATATATATATATATATATAGACAAATTGCTATTTCCATATGCACTATTTATTTTAAGAATTATAAAGATAATCAAATTGATCAGATGTGTTGGGTTGGTGGTAACATGAATGTTAGTCGTTAAACATATATTATTAGATAACAATTATTTTTTAAGATTAGACAACATTGTTTTTAGTAATTATTGAAATTTGTCCTAGAAAAGAGAGAAATCAAATTTGAAATGATTCAAAGGAACGAATGAAACCGAAAATTACCTGCTAACCTGAACATAGCTCATTTAAGTTATCTATCTCCAATCAAAATTTTATGAGTTTGAATATTTATCATCACATGTTGTATTTATAAAATGAAAAAAAGAAAATTACCTAATTATAGCTTAAATTCACTCCCTTAAATGAGCGGATATAATTATTTAATAAAAATTTAATGCAGAATATCTATATTCATTTATTTGATGATCAGATGTTTCTATAAAAGAAGGTTTGAAATCATATTAATTTCGAAAATAGATGGATATTTATATTAAATATAAAATACAAAGATGAAAACAATTTTTACCCTTAAACATGAAATTTGAAGCTAGAATAAAATATTTAAAATTCGGGACAAAAATGTTAAAAGAAAAAATTGATTTGTTTAAATTAACATTTTAGTCCTTGTAAAAAAGTTTCAATTTGATCCTAATATTTTTGTTAGATCTCTCCAAACGTTTCTACCATCACCAAATGTTGACAATTCTCTTACATGACATCTTTCTTTCATTCTTTCCTTTTAAAAAAAAATTGACACACTTTCTTGATACATGATAGGCGGAGATGAACTTTAAAGATTATTTTATTTTAATCCATAAACTTTTAAAAGGTTCCTTTTATTCTCTATTTTAGTTAATAAATTTTAAAAATTAATTATTTGATTTATGTTTATTTAATCTTAATAAATTAATAAGATGACTTCGAGTTTATGTACCAATACGTTAACGTGAACATATTCAAACAATACAAGTTAAGAGACTAAGTATGGAGTAAACAAATTTTAGGTTAGAAAAATAATTTAACAAATACTAAAACATTCAAAAAGTTCAATGACGATAAGAAATTTAGAGTCTAAATTAATTATTTTAAAAGTTCAGACACTAGGAATTGAGAGTCGAGAAATTAAAATAAGACTTAAATCTTAATTTATTTGAGACTTTTCAAAACTTTTGTTAAATATAAAAATAAAATAAAAAAGAAAAGAAGATACTTTCCGGAACCAACAGTGGGCCCGAATATACTTGTCATTAACGGTCACCGAACTGAACCGTCCGGTTCGGTTCATAAGTGCTCCATTCAATACGTTAAAACAAACGAACAATCCGGCCGGTCGAAATGGATTGGCAAAACGATTTCCTTCTCTACTTCTTCAGCTTATAGTTTCCACAGAGACAATGTTATTGCTCCAATATCTAAAACAACAATGGCTTCTCTGCAAGAATTGCTCACTCGAGAAGGATTTGAGGGCACTAATTACCCCAAAACCCGCAAACCCTCGAGGCCCAGAGGAAGAAGAAGAACGCCCGCCGATGGTTCTGTAACTCTGCCCATATACATATGCCACGACAAGAAATTCATCGATTCTTCGAAGAAGAAGGCCGATAAAGCTTTTGTGCGAAATGGTTCTTCGGTGTATTCCTCGAAACGGGTGGGTTCGGTCTCGGAGAGCTCGCTCTGTAAATCAATGGAGGAGCCCGCCATTGATGACATTGCTATTCGAGCTGTTGTGTCGATTCTTAGTGGGTATGTGGGGAGTTACGCGAAGGACGAGATTTTTAGGGAAACGGTGAGAAAGAAGTGCAATCTGTGCTTGGTGCGGAGCGGGGAAATGGGGGTTGGGATTTGCAGTAATTTGGAGATGGGTATGAAGAGTGTTGACAGATTGGTGGAAGAAGGCCATGGAAATGAGAAGGAATTGAGAGTTAAAGCTTCGAGAAATTCTATTGGACTTCTGAATATGGTGGTTGCTTCTTTGAATTCTGTTAGGTCCATGGAAAATGGTTCTTCTGATCTCTCTGCCTGTGCTAAGCTCTACTTGGCGATTGTGTACAAGATAGAGAAGAATGAGAAGATTTCTGCTAAGCATCTTCTTCAAGTGTTTTGTGATTCTCCATTTCTTGCGAGAACCCATCTTCTGCCAGAGCTTTGGGAGCATTTTTTTCTTCCCCATCTCCTCCATTTGAAGGTTTGGTACAGTCAGGAGCTTGAATTTGTGTCAAACGTGGAATGTGAACATAAGGACAGGAGAATCAAGGCCTTGAGTAAGGTCTATAATGAGCATATGGATAGGGGAACTGTTCAGTTTGCTTTGTATTATATACAGTGGCTCAAAGATGGAGCCAAAGCTCCTCCTGTTCCTGTTGTGCCTTCACCTTCAAAGTCCATCCATGGAGCTTCGAGGAGATCGTCGGATTCTTACTTTTCGCAGTCTTCCTCGAATAAGAATTTGTAAGTTCTTGAAGATTATGTTTATTTGAATTGTTTTAAGTAACAGCCCCACCTGAACAATGATTTGATGAGATCTTATGGTGCTTTCTGTTTTTTGGCTATGGTGATGATGAAGATATCATGCTGTCTTTGGTCCAAGTCTTGAGGAGCAAGTGATAGAGTTGAGGAGCGGAAATATGGCTGCAGCCAAGACAAGGAGTTCAAACGAAAAGGAAATCTTATTTGCAGAAAAGAACTACGAAAGTAGTGCTTCTGTTCATGTCTGTAACTGTATCTCCTTCTCCAAAATGGAAGCATTTTTCTGGCTTCATTATGAAGATCACATTTTTTGTTTATTGTTTCTGCAGGAAGAACTTAGCAACCATAGAATGTCATCGGTCTTGGATTACAGGCATCAAAATGCTGACTCGTGGCGCGAGACTGTAAAATCTGACTATTTACGATTCTTTACATGTCAGAATGTAGCAAAAGAATACTTGGAAAACAGTAATGTGATTACCAGAAACAGTGCTGTTCGAGTAGATGGAAAAAGCCATCTTCTTTCTAATGATTTGAGCAGGGCCATAAGCACAATCTGCTCCTCAGATATCTTGAGTGAGTGCGAGATAGCCATTCGTGTGGTAACCAAAGCTTGGTTGGATGCTCATGGCGACACTGCCATTGAGGTTGCGTTATCGAAGCCACCGGTTGTCGAGGGAATGTTGGAGGTTTTGTTAGCTTCCGATGATGATGAGATTTTAGAATTGGTGATTTCGGTTTTAGCAGAACTTGCTGCAAGGGACGAGGTTATTCGGCAGATGATATTGAACTCTGATCCACAGCTTCAAGTGTTTCTTAAACTCTTGAAAAGTAGTAGTCTATTCCTGAAAGCATCAATTCTACTCTACCTATCAAAACCACAGGCAAAGCAGATGATTTCGGTCGAATGGTTACCGCTGGTCCTTAGAGTATTGGAATTTGGAGGCCAGTTACAGACGTTATTCTCGGTACGGTGCAAGCCTCACGAAGCAGCATTTTACCTTCTAGACCAACTCCTGAAAGGGTTTGATGAAGACAGGAACTTAGAGAATTGTAGACACTTGATTGCTCTTGGGGGATTAAGTCTGCTGCTGAGAAGGTTGGAGAGAGGTGAGATTGAAGAGAGGAAGAATGCCGTTTCGATAATTTCGTGCTGCATTCAAGCTGATGGAAGCTGTCGAAACTACTTGGTTGATAATCTGAACAAGACTTCACTTCTTGAACTCATTGTTCATGAAAGCAATAAAAGCTCTGACAGGTGTGGTCTGGCTTTACTAGTGGATCTACTCTGCCTTAGCCGGTAAAGAATGTTTTCGTTTCTTCTTGCTTTTATGTTGAATTTATAGTACCTCACCCGTTAATCGAGCATCTCGAATTACTTAACAGAAGAACAAGGATCACTAGACTCTTGGATGGACTTAAAGAAGGATGGAGTGGATTGGGAATCATGAACATTTTGTCGGTCTATCTTCAGCGAGCGCTTCCCGAGGAGCAGCCCTTAGTTGCAGCAATACTTTTGCAGCTTGATTTCATGGTAACTTGAATTTCAGAGTTTGAATGTACGAAAACTTCGTTAGATTGTTAAAAACTTAAGGAAGAGATAGTCGGGGTCTGTTACCAGTGATTGCTTTTAAATAATTTGAATGGTTCCCACATGAAGTTGCAGTCACATTGCAGGAAGATACCCAGAATTGCAGCATATACCGAGAAGAGGCCATTGTGACGATTATAACCGCCTTGAAATCTCGAATTTCTCGAGAAGAGGTACAGGAAAATTTGGCTAGAGCTCTCCTGATTTTGGGAGGTCGGTTTTTGTATACCGGAGAACCAAGTGCAGAAAATTGGCTTTTACTACGAGCAGGCTTCAAAGAGAGCTCTGAGGATTCGTTCCATAGCAAGCATGTTTATGACGACTTCGTGCAATCGGTGAGCTTTGCCTTGAAGTTTCGTACGTAGATTCTGTTATCTTTACTAGACAACAATCCTTTTAGTATCTGTTCTCATGTTGGTTTCAATAACAATTGTGTCCACCATTAGTATGAAGAGGAGGAAGATGTGGAGAATTGGCAGTTGAAAGCTGCAACTGTGCTTTTCAACCATGGACACAAGAGTTTATTGTCTGCCCTCTCAATTTCGTTGTCGAGTTCTATCCCAAGCCTAGCAAAAGCAAGTCTTGTTACGGTTTCATGGATGAGCACTTACCTGTTTGTTGTTAGAGATGAGAAGTTACAGTTGATAACACCCTCGATTCTAGTACCGCCTTTGATAAAATACTTGAATTACGATAAAGATGTCGAGGACCGAGTACTCGCATCATATTCATTGCTTAATCTCAGCAAGTATACAGGTAAGATGATTTCTTTAACTTTCTGCGTTTTCAGTCAAGTGGAACACCAAAAAATCTTCAGAATCCTTTTGTTTCTTGTCTAGAATGCAAGCACATTTTTCGATTGTTCGACGAAGAAGTTCTAGATCGTCTTCAAAACCTTTCTCTAGTTACATGGACAGCGGAAGAGCTTGTCTTGATCGTTAGAAGCGGATCAGCACATCAGTATACCAAGCGAGAGAATTCATACACTCAAAGAAGCAGAAGAATATGATTGATCAGGTCTCTTTCTTTTTCGCCGTGGACATTTCCTGCTCATCAAGATGATTATATATATATATATATTCTTTTTTCTTTCTTTGTTCGATTGCTATATTTCGAGCTTTTACGTGTATTTCGAGTTACATTTTCGACCTCCAATCCTTTTGTACATAGGAAGGTGTGATGCAAAAGCCATTGGTAATGTTAAAAATAGAAAAAAAAATATTGAAATTTGAAGCTGAAGCCGATGTTTATTAAACTTGGTGTTTTGTTTTTTTGGAGTTAGGCAACCATTAGCAAATGTTGCTTTCAGAATTTGGTGGGAAGTTTTTATCAGTGTCTTCTGATAAAAGGGGTGAGATGCATATAAGGGAAAAGGAAAGTGAAGTGGGGGCAATTGGCTTGCTTGGATGCTCACGTAAAAAACAGTCGTGTTCGGGATGACTTTTGAAAGTAGTATTTTTAAGTGAAATGCTTTTCTCTCAAAACCGTCATTCTTTAAGAGTAGTATTAAGAACATGCATCTCTTCAGTGTTCAACCGATACAGTTAATAGATGTCTTTCCCACTTGAGCTATGCTTATAGTTACTAAGAAAACGAATCTCTCCCAGATACCGAATTAAAATGATCGAAACTTTTCAAACAACCTTATTTTCCATTTCAAACACATTATTACACAAAGAATCTTGATTTTAAATCGTAGTCGTAACACAGGGAAAGAATGACGCCCAATGACGAATTTGAAAAAGTCACCTATATGTATACTTTACATCGAATCGAATCGTTCTGATAAATTTTCCATCTCGTTTGAAGAAACTTCCAAGTTGCAAATTGCTTTAATTATTTTTGTTTTTGGAGAGGAAGAATGTGGTTGTGGCCATGGCCTCACCAAGTTGAAATAGATATGAGTACACATAATAGAGACCATAGAGATGAGACAAAAAGTTGAGCTCCCACTATTCACTAAGAAACAACAAAGTGAAAGCTGTTGTTTTGGTTTGGCCAGCCTATACACTACACAATTCAAACCCACCACTCTTTGTCTAATGCAAAACACATCTTCCAAACCAAACAGATTCTCAAACATATGACATTTGATGGAAACCAACTAGGATTGCCTATGAGAAATGTGCACAATTGTTTCTTATTTTTCGTTTCCAATCTTCTTAAAAAGTCTAAGCATTTTGCTAATAACTATGAGCCCGTTTGGTAACGTTCTTGTTTTTTGTTTCTATTTATACATGTTTAATAAAGAAAAATAGAATTACATGACCTCAACATCCATGAATTCAATGACGATCAAACAATATTTATATTTATGTTTTATAACAAATTGGAAACAGAAACAAGAAACAAGAAACAATAAATTTGATTGTTTCCAAAAGATGAGAAATTAAACAAGAAACATAATTCGTTGCAAAATGTTTAGGTTTCTTAATAAAATTTAGAGACGAGAAACAAAAAACGGAAATGTTACCAAACGAGCTCTATGTTTCTTGTTTCTCATTTTCTTTTTGAACATTCTCAAAATTGTATAGAAATTTTGAAATCAACCCACCCTTATTCTTATTTTCAATTTGTTCTAAAAGATAAATAAATAAATAAATAAATAAATAAATAAATAAATAAATATATATATATATATATATATATATATATATATTTTATCATATTTGAATTCTATTTCTTGTTTTTTTTAGAAATAAAGAAGCGTAAGTGTGCGGTAGTTGTTTTGATTTCAGGTCCCTCATTTTTAAGAGACGTTTCAATAATTATATGCACATTTTTTGAAACAACAAAAACTAACTTCTTGTTTCTCATTGCTACTTCTAACTTTTCAAATACATAAATAAATAAATAAAATTATCCTTTTTTCTTTTTACTTAGAAACAATAAATAATTACTAAAAAAAAATCATGTTTTCATTTCTTATAAAATAGGGGGAAAAGCCATAAATCTCTTAGAAACTGGCAAGAGGTCATTTGTTAATATTTTTGTTTGTTGTTTTATGTTTCTCCCTCTTTTAATATACATATTTGGTAATTGTTTTTATTTTTAATAAAGACTTTCAAAATTGAATATAAATTTTTGAAATTTTGGAATTTTTTTCTCGTTTTCAAAGTTTAAAAAACGTAAATAAAAATATTTTTTATGTTTTGACCTAAAATAACTTTAATGAATATGCATATGTAAGCTTTGTAAAATGGGAATTTTATTTTAATTCTTTATTATCTAAAATTCCAATTATGTTTTTTTTATATAAATTAAGCAGTTTCATAAATTTAAACTAAAGTTATTGATAATAGTTTGTTTCATAAATTGCATCATTTTAAAATTTTAAAATCAATATATTTGTTTGAGTTGAACGAAGAGGGAGAATTCAACTCTTGACTTTAAAGAAGATAAATAATTTTTTTTTCCAAACAAGATAATTAGTTAATTGTACACAAAATATTTGTTAGATGTAATTTTATATGAATTGATAATTTAAAATCTGGAATATATATATATATATATATATATTTATATATATAGAGTACAACAAATTGAGAGTATATAGATTTGAAGTTCCGATTTTATGAAAATGAGTAGATGACAATTATCACTGAACTATACTCGTTTTTTGATTTTTTGTCAGAACTTTTGCTTTTTACTCAAATGATTAGAAAAAAAAATATCAATAAATTATGAAAATTTTTAATGGATGTCATTTCACATTGTCATATTTATCAATATGGTACGACTATTGTACTTAAAAAGTAATATGACTGTGATTTTGCAAGTATAACAAATTTTCTTTTTTAAGATTTTGTGTTTGTTTAGAAATTTTTATGTAGTTTATTTTTTACTCTCATATATCAATATAATATATCAATGATAATATATAATTGATAGATATTCCATAAGGCTATAGTATTTAAGTAAGTTTGGGCTGGACTCTTTTATTATGCTATATTTATTAAAAAAAACATTATTTTGTTGCTATATTTGCAATTAATTAAACTTATTTGTCATATATATAAATGACGCACAAATTATATAGTAATATTTGAATAAATTAAAATCAAGTTGATAACTCTTATGATTTTGGTTACTGAAGTTTGAAGTTTAGAGTGGGGTAGTAGTTTCTAAATTAACAAAATTTCAGTACTACTCATTGCTTAAAAATTTTAAAACCTGTACACCTTTGTCCACAAATTCAATGTATCGCTAAACATCGTCAATTGTATTTCCATCGAAATTAGAACTCTGACTTTCATCGGGCGATGATGATGATACTGTGGCAACAGAGATGGTGGGTGGTGAGAAAGGATAGAAAGGGTCGGCGGGTAGCAACGACAATGTTAGTCGAAGATGGGAGAGAAAAAAGAATGAGAATGAAAGAGAAAAGATAAAGAACGAGAACCCACGAACGGTCAATTAAAAATCAAAGGAGCTCATAGATTATTTAGAACAATTTCTCAAACTTCAAAGATAAAAAAAATTCTCTATTTTTAGACCGGAGAGAATAAATAGACATTTACTCCCCATTTCTATAATAAAAAAAAAAACTTCAAAAAGATAAATTGTGATGGTCTTAGAACTTCAGTGACCAATTAAAGATTAAAAGTGTATTTTTTAATGAGAGTAACTGAAACTAGAAAAAATAAATTTCATATATATTTTTATTGAATAGCGAAAGGCGGTTTGATAAAGAAAAAAAAAATGGCGGTTTCTTCTGGAAGAACAGAGCAGAGCAGAGGTGGCGGTTGTTGTCGGCGGCGATCTCCGATTCCGAGCGACACGTATATTTCTAAAACCCAAAGCTTCCATTCCGCCATTACTGTAACTGTAAGCCACTCTCCGTCTCCTCCAAGCTTCTGAACTTCTAAACTTCTGCACAGGGCAAAACCTTCCTTTCGGCCCAAGCAAGCTTCTGCTAGTGTGCCGCAAGTTATTCTCCAATCTGCACCTGAAAGTTGAAATTCCGAGCTCTCTTTTGCCTTCCGCTTGATTTCCTGCTCTACCGACTTCAATCGCTTCCCGATTCGACTATGAGCAGGGACGAGTGTTTCACGACGCAGCTGATTAACGAAAACGGCGAGTTCAATGTCGCTGGCCTGGAGGGTTTCACCCGGAAGATTAAGTTGGCTGAGTGTGGCCTTTCCTATGCGGTGGTCGCTGTCATGGGGCCTCAGAGCAGCGGTATGACTTGCACTTGCACTTGTTGTTATCATTTTGTTTACCCACCATGTGTATATGTGTATCTATGCATTGCTTCGTCGAAGATTTGCTTGCACATGTTCGTCCCACATTGTGATTGTTCCTGGTTTCTGTCGCAATGTAGATTTTAGGGAGTTCTTACTAATAGTCTGTTATCCTTCTCCCTATTGTGTGGTCAGGGAAGAGCACGTTACTGAATCATCTTTTTCACACTAATTTTACGGAGATGGATGCGTACAAGGGAAGGTTCATCACCCTGCCCTCTGTCTTTTCCTTAACAAACACCACCCATTAAGAGAACATATAGTTGGCTTATGCAGGCATATAAAATTTATTCTGGTTCCTAATTCTTAATTTTTTAGTATATAAAATTTGTGCTCCTTTGCATTTGTTACCATATGAGAAATAAGCTAATTGTAAATGATTTTAATTTAGGGTTCAAACTACCAAGGGCATATGGGTTGCGAAGTGTATTGGCATTGAGCCTTGCACGATTGCCATGGACTTGGAGGGTACGGATGGAAGAGAAAGAGGAGAGGTAAAACTTGAGTTTTGGGATTTCTAATGGTAGGAGATTTAAATGTACATCTTATCTGTTGCAGAATGTATATTATTAAATATTGATTTAAATATTTTAGTTATAGGACTTTATTAGTTTGTCTATTAGTTGTCTCTCTCTCTATTTTGGTTAGTTGGAAAGTTAATTTTTTTATTTCTAAAATCCCCTCGACTTGGGTCTTGATTCAACTTTCCTTTCTGATTATTATACCTTTTTCTAAACAGAGAAAAGAAGTTATGAACTCACGAAGTCTGCATGGCTTTTTGATATGAAATAATCAATAAACTTTTGTACAAATCTTTGGAGAAGAGGTGTGGGATATTACTAGGTTTAACACCTCTTGGTGGGCTTTGGTTTTTAAACCATTTTGTAATCATTAGGTTTTATTCTTTTCGATGAGAGTCCATTTATGCACAGGTAGTTCTCGTTGATGGCCAGTTTTTTTTTTTTTGTGCTATTTTTCTTTCATGTTCTCAATGAAAGCTTGGTTTTTCATTAGAAAAAAGAACTTATGTACAAATGTTATTGTTATTAATATTTTATTCAATTCAACTTACTCTCAGGATGATACTACATTTGAGAAACAAAGTGCGCTATTTGCTCTGGCAATCTCTGATATTGTTTTAATAAATATGTAAGTTTTGGAGCTGAGTATTGTTTTCTTCCCTTGAATTTTGTTAATGCTGTTATTATTACAATTATGGATATCATTACTATTTTCTAATAAATGAATTTTATTTATAAATAAAAGAATGATACCTCACAGGAAAATAGGAAACAACTACAAGAACGAACCCCATGTAAAGGAGAAAGAGAACAACTTTTCTATTGGATAAATCATACTTATTCTTCAAAATTGGATTAGGTTTACAGTCTCGAGTCCTGGGGCTTAAGGGATGATAAATTATCTCTCTATTAGAAGATTCCAGCTAGTTGATAAATTGGTCCTTTCATGGGAATCTCAGAGAGAGAACAGTTTTGATGTCATATTTCACGCCCCTTTCTTCTCACATAGGAAGCATTATGATCCCGCCTGAATGTTATCACTTGCAACTTGCAAGTCCTTTATGGGCATATCAGATTGCAAGCTGTAAGTGCACCATCAAACAGGCTGATTGTCGAAAAATGGGCAGCTTTTTAGGATGGGAAAAGGGTCATTATTTTAGGTTACCCTGTTCTGTGGCAGAGGTTATAGACAAACGAGCTTCAGATATCATTATTAGTTAATGTATGAATGTGGGTATGATACTCCAGTTGCAAAATGTCTTTCGAGTTCTGTTTGCCCGATTACATGGAGTACAAATGATTATGATGTCTGAAGTGGTGATGGTTTTTCTTGTAAACTATGTACAGATGGTGCCATGATATTGGTCGAGAGCAGGCTGCTAACAGGCCTCTTCTAAAGACAGTCTTTGAGGTAATACCTCAACTGTTTATTTTCTGATTGTGGTCAGCCTTCTGTAAATAACATTTTGTCGTATTGCTTTCAATGCTAATCATAGGTCATGATACGCTTATTCAGCCCACGTAAAACGACTCTAATGTTTGTTATACGTGATAAGACAAAGGTTGGTTATTAACTTACCAAGTCTAATAGTCTGTGTTTCTTTGAGAGCTCAGGTTTAATCTCGTTGAATGTTTTTTCTGATGCTCTTATACTTGGATATCCATGCAGACCCCACTTCGGCATTTGGAGTCTATTCTGAAGGACGACATTCAGAAGGTATTCTTTACTTGGGTGGTCTGACTGCACTGCAAAAACTTCTAAACATGATTTCTGGAGAAATAAAATAAACCCTGTTTCGAAGATTTGTCCTTACCATCTGACATCTGTCTCCACTCTTTCAAAATATGGGTGGAGATTCTATACTGATGAAGAACGACAGGCATTGATAGGTGACTGCTAGTTGTTTCTTTTGTTGGAAATGTTCTGGAGATGGCCTCGTAGTACAGAAGTGCCAAAGTCTGGTCATTGGTTTGTGTTTACTAGCTAGGGCAAGAAAACTTTTCTGTTTAGATTCAATATTTCAAGAAAATGAATTCAATATATATAACTTCCATATCTGAGCAGCAAAAACTTGTTTGAATTCTTTAGTCAGAATGTGGTGGTGGATCTACTTGGAATATGGTATGCCTGTATTCTTCTAGTTTTTGCACAATGAGTTTAAATTAATTGGAAATGTTAGGGAATATATGCTTTCTTTTCCCCCTTCATTTTATGTTCTAGTAAAGCTATTTAAGCGCCTTCACTTTAAGTGTCCTCTTCTGGATTATTTCTTTCCCCTTATTGGTGCAGATATGGAATGCTGTTCATAAACCGGATTCCCTTAAGAATACTCCCCTCAGCGAATTTTTTAATGTATGTTATCATGGTTGGCATTGTATATCCTTCTTTCAACTTTGTAGGGATCATCTTGTATGTCTAATTGAAATATTTTGGCTTGAAGGTGCAAATCTTTGCTTTGTCAAGCTATGAAGAGAAAGAGAAGAAGTTTAAAGAAGAGGTAGTGCTTACAATGGCCAGCTGCTCACTAATTCAAGGATTTTACTAGCATTTAGTTATTTAGGAAGTTCAATACACATTTTGTTTCATATAATTTTTTTTCCCTTTTTCGTAGCAGAAGCATTTACTGGTTCCCCTTAGATTGAACCTCCATCCTTTTCCTTTTTTTAATTTCACTGCTATTGTTTGCTTGAGTTTTCAAATTATTGGGAGTAAGAGGGTATCTATCTTTGCATTGCAATGTTTAAGGATTTCCTTCCCTGTTTTTTAATTATTAGTTCAGAAATCTGTGGTCCTAATTTTTGTTTCTAGAGCTACAGCCCTTCTGTTCTTCCCTCCTTCTGCTGATATCAGTTGTTAAATTTAATTGCTCAATTCCTATAATCTGTCTTATGTAGGTTGCTCAACTGAGGCAACGGTTTTTCCGTTCTATTTCTCCAGGTGGACTTGCTGGTGACCGACGAGGAGTTATCCCTGCATCAGGATTTTCTTTTAGTGTGCAGCAAATATGGAAAGTCATAAAGGAAAACAAGGACCTGGATCTTCCTGCCCACAAGGTTTTATCTTTACTTTTTCTTCCTTCAGGTAAAATAGGTTTCATTAATAGGATGTAAAAATGATGTATAAAGCAAAGTAAGACAAGATTTTAAACCTTCGATGGAAAAGAAAAGATTTAACGATGATCTATATTCCATTGAATTTTTTTTTTTAAAAAAAACACCCTTTGTTATTAATATCCCATATAGTATCTATGTAGTGCAAAGTCTCCTACTCCAACTAGTGGCCAAACATGAGTATTTACCATAGGGATTTTTTCTACTCCTCTCCCTTCATGTTTCCCAGAGTGTGGCCGTGACGAAGTTGATGCATATACTCCAAATTGTGCATCCATGGCCTCTGAAAGTGGTTCCTCTTAAAAATTCGAGCCAAATAGGAAAAAAAAATGGTTAAAGTAAGGTGCTCCAAAACATATCCACACAAGTCAATTACATAAGGAACAGTGCAGCAAAAGGTGATCAATGTCTTCTGTGATCTGTTGCATGACTAAATTATACGAAACTGTAAATGAATGAGAAATTTTGATAGCCTTGCTTAATCATATTATCACACGTACAACTTGATTCTGAGGGGCATGAAGATGATTCAAACTTCACGCTGAGAAAAGGTTAATGACTAGGAAGAGATTCTAAGAGTATAAGAAAAGGGCTCCCATAATTTAAATTTCCTTGATATTTTCTGACTTACATGTATTGCATTTCCTTTTTCCTCCGGGAAGATTCATTTTCAGCTTCTAATATGAGATTAATTTATATTATCAGGTAATGGTTGCTAGTGTGCGGTGTGAAGAGATTGCCAATGAGAAGTTTAGTCGCTTAACCACCGATGAGGTCTGAGACATTCAAACCCTCTTCCCTGCGTATCCATTTCCTTTTGAACTTTTTCAGACTTTGCTACTTTTACTCAGAGGTGGTTGGCATTAGATGAAGCGGTCAAAGAGGGTCCTGTATTGGGCTTTGGGCAAAAGCTAAGCTCAATCTTAGAATCCTATTTCAAAGGGTATGTTTTCATCTGATTTAGATCACTTATCACTTAGATTAAAGCACTTTGATGTAATGGTATTTTGACCTATTCAACTATTCTAAGTTCCTTTTCGAGCAGAAACATTTAAGTTCTAAATCTATCAGCCTCAGAATCTGACCACTTCCTATCCATGCCTCTGCTGAAAGATGCAGAGAAGAAATAGTAGTACTAATTTACTGCAGTGTTTTTCCTCATCGAGCAGGCAGGGCAGAAGAAAATACCAGCTCAGCTACTAATACTCATTAATGTTATTAAGTCCACTTGTTTTCTTCGGAGGATCAGTGTAGAGTTTCTTGAGTGATGCATGTTTATTTGTTTGTTTTAAATTTTTTCCCTCGGTAGTTTAGAAATTATTGCAACATTCGTTTGATTGATTAGGAAAGGGGAAACAGATCTAAGTTTGATCTTTGCTAGTCTTGTGCAATTTCGTCCTGCTTATGGTTTATAATATCTGTAATTTTGTGCACTACTACTGTCAATTTTCTCTCTTTTCTAATAGATATGACATAGAGGCAATGTATTTCGATGAAGAAGTGAGAAATGCTAAAAGAAGACAACTGATGTCAAGGGCATTGGAGGTTAGTCTGGAACATTCTATTCTATTGCAAAAAGGCTCCCCCCTCATCTTCCTGCTCCCAGCTATGGAGAAAGAGAGAGGTTTTATAGATTATGGCATGTTAGGTTTTCACCGTGGACTGTGAATCGTAAATCAGCAATCATAGACTATGATTGCTGATTTACTTTCTCCAAGGTTCTGATCTAGTAATTCGACCTAGTGCTATGTGCTTCGCAGTTTGTGTATCCCTAACTTTTAGTGCTCTGTAAAGGTTCAAATGTATTGTCCTAAATCAAGTTTGAACCGTGATCATAATTATTTGTTTCACAAAGGAAGCCTCTCTCTTTTGCCTTTAATTCCAGGACGTTCTCTTTTGTAGGATTAATATTTATTCGACTCCAGCTGATGTGTGCTTTGCATGCTTTGCAGTTTGTATATCCTTCTTATGTTGTCATGTTGGGACATCTGCGGTCTAAAGCCTTTGAGAATTTTAAGGATAGGGTTGAACAGTCTATGAACGATGGAGAAGGATTTGCATCAACCGTTCGCAACTGTACCAAAACTTGCATGCTTGAGTTTGACCAAGGGTCTGCAGGTGAAATAACATATTATATTTTATTCTTTTATTAATTCCGTGTTGTTTTTACAAGTATACATATGATGGTTGGTTTCTTTGAGCATTCTGGTAGTCTTCGACGGGTGTTTTATCATTGTTACCATAAGCAATGGCCTCTATAATCCATGAGAAAGAATAACCAACTGAAGTAAAGATAATAGGAAGGCAAACTCCTCGATCAAGGAGGGACCTACAAAAGTGGAGGTCAAGAGGAGTTCCTCCCCATGGAGAGACCGAGATAAGGGGAAATTGCAAACAGAGAGGACTTGCACTTTTACCTTTTTGGGAAGGGCCACTGTAGTAAGATTAAATACACTGTTTCTTTTGGGATGTGAACTCTTTTCCAGGTTAATGCCACAAGTTCTTGGTCTAAGCTTTTACCATCCCATAGCCACATTGTAATATTTATAAATATGAAAAAAAAAATAGCATAAGAAATAATATGGACACGATCTTTTTTTTTTTCGGGAGGTGGGGGGAGGGGATTAAAAATGTGGTGTTGCCGATTAATTTGCAGAAAACTGTTTGTAAGGCATCAGTATTTGAAATTTCATCTCTTTAGAATGCATGTTACATTCAGAGGTGAGATACAAATAAATCATATGCTCGTACTGTTTTAACCGAAAAATTCCGATTAAAGCAATAAGATATCCAAGAACACTCGAAGCTGCAAAAAGGAGTTAGCACTCCGAGGGTTTTCTCAATACATAATTCAATTTGTTCTAAGATTTCAATATCAAAAGTTTGCGTACCTTCCCCTTTTAATTTAAGGGTATTTATAGAGGGTGTAGTTAACCATTTGGCATTAAGAATTCAAATTCACGGTTACCACCGAGATTATAGGCATGAATTACGCATTAGGGATGAAAAGTGGTTTCACAGTTATCCATTCGAACATTGGAACCGAGTTTGGAAATTCCTGTAATATGAATAATCAAGTTCGGTAATTCTATTGTATAAGTTCTCCAAACTAGCTTCCGAACTCTCGCCTTGCGAGGTTTGTACATGTAGCTTCTTGTCGAACCGATGATGTCGTGTTCTTTAAGCGAAATTCTGCCTTTACCACGTACTTATTTATTTTATTTAATCAAACCCTTGCTCTTAGATGCTGCTGTGCAGCAAGCCAATTGGGATCCTTCAAAATTCCGGGATAAACTACGCCATGATATGAGCACACATGCATCATTTGTTCAAAATGAAAAGCTATCAGGAATAGTAGCCAGCTACCAGGTAACTTTCTGAAACAATGTACTCGCTTTCTCTTCCCCTTTTCACTTTTTTCTAGATCATACCTATTATACATATTGTTATGTTAGTTTAGATATGCCTTGCATTCTACAGAAACGCCTCGATGAAGCACTGACTCAACCAATAAGATCTCTGCTTGAAGCTAGTGGGAAGGATACTTGGGCTTCAATAAGAAAGATTCTTCAACACGAGACTGAAATTACCATATCAAAGTTTTCAGCTAATATTGCTGGTTTTGAGTTGGATCAAGAAAAAGTTGACAACATGGTGCTAAACCTTAGGAACTATGCTAGAAATGTGGTTGAAAACAGAGCAAAAGAAGAAGCAGGAAAGGTTCTAATGCACATGAAGGATAGGTAGAAAGTGGCATGTTCAATCTAACTCGTATCTCTCTCTTTGTATTGGTAATTCATTTTCTTTAGTTTCTTCCTTCAGGTTTTCAACCGTATTCTCTCATGACAATGATTCATTGCCTAGGACCTGGACTGGGGAGGAAAATATTAGAACCATAACTAGAGATGCCCGCACAGCGGTGATTTTCTAGGATTTCAATCATTAATCTTATTTCCTCCCTATTCTGCCTTTTAATATTTTAAATGACAAATTATTACTGTCTTGCAGTCATTGAAGGTTTTATCTGTTTTGGCTGCTATACGTTTAGATGAGAAGCCAGATAAGATTGAAAATGTTCTCATTTCATCTTTGATGAATGAAGCTGTTGCAATCTCTTCGTCAAAAGATAGAAGTTCTGGACCTTCTTCTGACCCTCTTGCCTCAAGTACATGGGAGGAGGTACTGTACTATGATGATCGTTGTTGGTTTGGTGTGGTAATAATGTTATTATTGAACAATATAATCATAAACAATGCCCATAAATTAGGTCTCTGCAAAGGATACTCTGATTACACCTGTGCAATGCAAGTCCTTGTGGAGGCAGTTCAAAGCAGAGACCGAATATATGGTTACTCAGGCCATAACAGCACAGGTACAATTTTTCACTGCACTTTTTTGCGCCCGCTCTACTTTATATTTTGTCTTCATTTTTCTGATTTTATCTACTAGCTGATTTTGAAGTGCTTCTTTGTTAAGATACTGTTCTTCAATATGAGAGATGATAATGATCTGGCAGGACACTCCTATATTTTTTCTTTTCTTTTTCCCCTTCTGTGTTGTTGCGGGGATCAGTATACAACAAATAGCTTAACCCTTATCTTCTGGTCCGAGTCTTCAATTTTTACAAAAACATCTCCAAGGCAGGTCTAAATCATAACAATTGGGCTATTTCTTCTGAAGATGTTACTTGTGTAAAAGGTTTCCTTGCAATGGAGAATTACAATTTGAAGCTTTGTTATGAATGCAATATGCGAAGTTGTTGCTTAACTATTTCCTCTTGATCAATTTTCATGTTTTTTGTTTTCATGTAGAAACATAGGAGATTTCAGTGAGTTCTGAATTACTTCCATTCTTCTTTGACTTGTTTATCGATAAGCTTAAACTTATTACAGTTTTGCCTGCTATTAACATTATACGCCTGCTATTTTCAGGAGGCGTATAAGAGGAGTAACAATTGGCTACCCCCTCCCTGGGCAATTTTGGCTACGTTAATCCTTGGTTTCAATGAATTGATGCTTCTATTAAGGTATTCGCATGATTCTATAATCTTCATACGAATTGCATAATAATAATTGATATTATTTCTGTCTTATTTTTTGGTAATAATATCTAAATGCAACAGGAATCCTCTCTACCTTCTGGTTATATTTGTGGTGTATCTACTTTCAAAGGCCTTATGGGTTCAGATGGACATTGGGAGGGCGTTTCAAAATGGGACTGTAAGTAATAATTGGTTGAATACTTCAATAGTGTTCTCAGATCATGGTTCTCTGTAGGTAAAAGAAAATTGAAAGTTGTTTGTCAATTTTGTCTGTGTTTTGTTTCTAGGAAAGCTGAGGGGAAGAAAATTTTCAAATGTTCAAATTTTCGAATTTCCAAATGGAACTTTTGGAATTGTTTTACGGCAATTGGTTCTTTTTTTCCTTCTCCTTTTCTTTACACAAGCATGCAAGTGACACTTACTCTACGTTGGAAGTGCTCCGAGTCATCTGCGTTCATTGTTTGCTGTTGATATTTTTTGTGAAATTCTATAATCAATTTAACATGTAATAATGACATATGGTTTATTTTCGTGTAACATCACTCAAGTGCGAAATGCAAAACGTTCTCCACTCTGAAATTTGAATAGTTAGGCATTAATGAAATTTTATCTGGACGATTTCTTTGCGGGTTGTTGGTTATGATTTTTGCTGATTCTGAATTTTGCTTTTCACATTTTCGAGCAGTTGGCTGGACTTCTTTCCGTTTCTTCTCAGTTCCTTCCATCTGTTCTGAACCTCCTTAGAAAACTTACTGAAGAAGCTCAAGGATATACAAATCCCCAATCAACAAGACCACTATCAAACTTCCAGAGTTTCAGGAGTCAGGCACCTCAGTCAAATCCAGAAACAAACTCAATTCTGGAGCAATCGGCAGTATCCAATGTCGAGTCATCAGTATCATCCAACGTTGAGTCGTCGTCCGACAGCGAGGAAATTGAATACTCGAGCCCCAGCTTGGTCCACAGGCAGACTAAGAACCCCTGAGAAGCTGATTGGTTTTAATGAGATTTCATCTCTACATATAAGGTATGAGATTCGATCATCTCCATTAGTAGAATGTTTTATCATCATTTTACCATACATGCTCGTGCTCGTCTCATCGAAAAATAAATGCAGGTCGAAATAAGATTAGGACATGTAATGTAAAATGTAATGTGCTATAACTGTATAATGTTTAAACTATATACACAAATGGCTTACTGTGTTTAGAGACTGAGATCATAATGCTTGGGCTAGCTGGCTGAGACACTGCTTCAGATCTCCCTTTTCTTCTATCTTGCCTTTGATTTCAATTTTCCAACAAACAAATAATAATAATCTTAATATTAAAATACGAAGGCTCTGAAAAATCGACTGAACAGCCTCGAAAAAGATATATATTTAAATATTAAAATTATCGTGCAACGATTTCATAGATGATAATTGTGATGTGTTTAATTTAGGTGCTATCTTTTGTTGATTATCATTCCATTTTTGGTAAGCACGAGAAAAATGTAGGGAAAGTAATGTTTTTTTTTTCTATTTTTAAAAAGGTTAAAGGCTATCAAAATTTTGTTGATAATTAGTAGAAAGATGGGTCAGCAACTAAGAATTAAAAGAAAAAAAAAGATGTGTTTAATAAAAGAATCAGCTATTGGATTTTTAAGAAGTTCCATAAGCATCCATAATTTTTTATACGTACATTTTTACCATTGAATGTTGAAGTCTTGCTCTCAGATGAAAATTCAGGGCCATACTCCTAATACAGAGTAAATTAGATTTTCTTTTTTGTTTTAAATATTATATAAAATAAATATTAAGGCGGAAGCTGAAACGCTCGAACAGTTGAGTGGCTGCTGGTCGGACTCACTGTTAGTTAGTACCCCTTGGTTTCGTCTCCTTTCATAGCATGAATAAGAAGCAAAGTCAATATTATTGAAATCGGCATTCGAAATTGGATGATGGAACAACATCGTCATCTAATCTAATTGGGCAAGCAACTCCTCTTTCTGAAGAAATAATGCATCTCTAAAGTACGTAGATAAGACTCGTTCCGTACTTGACTTACGAGCTCGTGTAAACTTAGAGGGCGTTCGCCTTCTCTTCAAACGTGTCCTCGACAACTTGGTGGTACTGAGTCTACATTGGGAGAAGGACATCGAGATTGACTTCTTTGAGAATCTTCTTTATCTTGTCTAAGTGTTGAGACACGTTCGTCCATTCAAGTATCTTGTTTGGAAAAGATCTGGTGTTTTTCGAAAAAAGGTTCGATCTAGTAATATCATGATTGGGTCAAGTACAATCCACATCTAACTATAATGTAAAACACCAAAAAGAGGTAAAAAAAATTGTTACATTTGAGAAAAAAATAAAAGGTTGGTAACAATTTTTTTAATATGCATATTAGATTTTATGCTATATAGAGGGGTTTTCTTTGTTTTTTGTTTTTTTTTTTTGTTAAATTACTTTGGAACGTTGAGAAAATTGTTTAAATGAGAGTAGGTGACATTCAATATTAAAGCTTTGGACAAGAACAGAAAAAACATAACATATAAATAGTATATTCTATATATTTATATAAGGTTTTGTTTTTCAAGTATTACATTATAAATCAAGGGAAGAATATTCAACCCTATAATCTCAAACGGGACACTGATACCTGACTGCTTGAGCTATGCTCAGGTCGGCATATAAGCGGTATATAAGTAGGAACATAGCAAATGGGCAACACCCAAGTGAGAGGCAAATTTAAGGGAAAGAAAAAAAAGAAAAAAAAAGAGCAAAACTATCTAAATCTCCATGAAAGTGGGATTGGGCAAATAATAGTAGGAAATATATATGGATCACCACATTGAGTCCCCCATATCCATCTCAAATATGGGCCTGGATTGTGAGCCCATGAGCCTGGATGAGGGTGACCCACTGTTACTTGGGCTTGTTGGGCTTAGCCCATAGTTTGAAAACGACGCTGTCTGGCGCACCCTAAGGTGCACCACCTCGGCTTGAGCCAGAGCCAGCTGAGTTTGGAGGGTGTCTATTTGCTGCTGGAGAGACGATATGGCCCCAACGCACCCGTAGACCGGGTCACGAACCCGAGCGTTCGCTTCGTACACCAAACTGCTCACTGCATCTCCCCGTTGGTGAACTGGCAACTCCTGCAACATTTCACACTCACCCTATCAACTTTTAAAAAATTCAAGGATAAATAAAAGAATCTTCGTAAGTTTAGGGACTAATACGGAAGAAAAATAAACAACCCTATTATAAAATATTCAAGTTCAATTGGAATCTAAAAAGTTTGAAAATTGTGCAATAATAATTAATGTTGCTATTAGTTTTATAAAGGAGGGAAGGTAGTTTCCAATTTGGTTCTTATTTGTTGGCTGTCTCTCCACAAACAAGCAAGGGGTGGGTGGGTCCCCACAATTAACCTAAAAAGTCAACCAAAAAAACATTTTTGTTTTAAAAAGAGAAAAAAAAACATTTTTTCCTTCTTTTTTAGCATAAATATGTTTTCTTTTTTGTTTTAATAACAATAAGACATCAATTAATTAAAATAAATAAATAATAACTTCACATGATGGAAGGAAAATGGAGGGAAAAGGTTCAAAGCTAAAATCTAAGACTTAGGGATTAGAGTTGAGTTTAGTTGAGATATTTGCTTTGAAAATTATTTAATTTATTATAGTCTTCTCTGTTTTCATAGTTATGAGTCTCTCGAGTTGACACAGTAGTAAGGATCTTGGACCTTGTAATATCACCTACCATAATATCGATATCACCTACCGTAATATCTTGAATTCAAGCTCTGTGGTGCTCAGCCAATACAATGAACTTCAGTTCTTAGATCTTTTAATAATATTTGTATAATGAGAAGTTAGACATGACATGTCACTTTAGTCTCTCCAACAATTTATTGTATGAGGACAACATGACTAAAATTTATTGAATAACATGTCACGGGATTCGACATTCAAACTAACGGTATTAACTATCCAAATTTCAAGAACACAAGTAAAATTGTTTAAAGAATAATATTTATCTCCTAACTCGTCAGCAAAAATCAACTAACTGACCAATCAAAAGTAAAGTATTGTTCAACTTTAAAGACTACAAAATAAATGTATTCATATATATAACTCTATTTCCACATAGTAAAGGGCAAAAAGTAGGAGTCAAGTTTTTATTAAAAAAAAAAAATTGTTTTTTATTTTAAATTTTATAATAAACTTTTATCTCTTTGTGTGGCTCAAAGGTGCAGCCACAGATATTGATGAAAGTTGGGGCAGTTTGGTCAAAGATTGT